GGAGGAGCTAGATATAATCGAAGTTATCAGAGAAATAAATGGTCGCAGTAGTGTTTCCCCAACCGAATCCAGGTAATTTCCGATTATCACCGGATTCAGCTGGTTTCCTATGGTCACCGGATCCAGCTGATTCCTGATTATCACCGGATTCAGATGGTTTCCTATGGTCACCGGATCCAGCTGAGTGCCGATTATCGCCGGATTCAGCTGGTTTCCGATGGTCACCGGATCCAGCTGATTGTCGATTGTCACCGGATTCAAGTGGTTTTTGACGGTCACCGGATTCAGCTGGTTCCTGATGGTGACCGGGTCCAGCTCGTTCTCAATTGTCGTCGTTTCTGTCTGGATCCAGTAGGAATTTGCCGGTAAAAACCTGTAGAAAACCGGCCGGATTCCGGCGGCAAAGAAACATGAGGAACCGGCCGGTTCCGACCGAGTGGAAATGACCTGGGATCTTAACAAACTCAATAGAACTGTTAGTTCTTTTAATCATTTGCATATTTGTTTGTGAATTGATTTGAATCTTTGACCTTTAAATGTATCAGAGTGAATTCATATGAAGAGATTAATTGAGAAGTATATTTAGAAAAGTGAAGTCACACTAATGAATATGTCAATTACCACGTCGGATGGTTTTTATGGTCAAGTCTTTATAGAGAAAACATAATCATTATAGGGTATTAATCGAAACTGTATCTTAAGTTCTCATCTCTACTGTCACATCATCAATAAATACGAAATCACTTTAGCGTTTTCCTACTGTTTATATGTATAATATCGTTAAAACATCATTGAAAACCTTCTTTGAATAGCGCAGAGATTATTCATGTGATAAAGTTCATGTTAAAATTTGCGCCGGTGAAACATGTTTCAATCTTCATACGATTAATATTAGCTTGCACGGCATGAATATGAGGATGGTCAGGAGGTAAAGAGTGCTGAAAGATTTGTATAGAACGTTGATAGTATGAAGATGCCTTTGAATGTTCACCCATATCGTAATATACATTTGCTATGTTGTACAATGATAATCCAATACTAGGATGATTCGAAGGAAGCATTTTCTCTTGTATTTCTAGCGCTTTTTCATAAAATGATAATGCTTTTGCATAGTCACCCATGCTGTAGTACATAGTACCTATATTATTGTATGAAGAAGCGACGTCAGGATGGTTCAATGGAAGAGAGTTTGATTGTATGGACAACGATCTTTCATAATATAATAATGCTTTTGGATAATCGCCCATACTATCATAAGAATTACCGATATTATTGTACGATGATGCTAAAGCAGGATGATTTGACGGAAGACTTTGCTGTTGTATACTTAATGCTTTCTCATAATATTGGAGTGTTTTGCGATAATCTCCCATGCTATTATAAATATTGCCAATATTGTTATACGATGAAGCTAGATGGGGATGATTTGAAGGTAGACTCTGTTGAAAAATTGATAGACCTATTTCTAAAAAGGAAAGTGCTTTGGGATAATCTCCCATGTTCTCATAAATTTTTCCGATGTTACTATAAGACAAAGCCAAATCGGGATGATTTTCGGGTAGACTTTTCTGTCGTATGGCGAGTGATTTTTCATAAAACTCGAGCGCTTTCGTATATTCACCCATGTTTTCATACGTAGCGCCAATATTATTGTATGATGAGGCTAAATAAGCATGATCAGCAGGAAGGGTTTTTTGAAAAATCTCCAATCCTTTTTCATAGAAGGAAAGCGATTTAGAATAGTCTCCTATGTTGTCATACGTACTACCCATGTTGCTGTATAACATTGCCAAATTAAGATGAGTTGGATGAAGTGTTTCTTGTTGAATTTTCAATGCTTTTTCATAATATAAAAGTGCTTTAGAATATTCGTTGGTTTCATCATATATTTTCGCGATATTGTTTAATGATAAAGCCAAGTCAGAATGATTTGATGAAAGAGTTTTTTGTCGCATCTCAAGTGCTTTTTCATAGTATGAAAGTGCTTCTGAATAGCTACCTATTCTCGAATGTACACAGCCCAGATTGTTATATGTTGCAGCTAAATCAGGATGATTTGTAGGAAGAGACTGTTGCCGAATTGTCAACGCTTTTTCGTAATATGAAATTGCCTGTAAATAGTCTCCCAAGTCGCCGAAAACATTACCGAGATTATCATACGACGAAGCTAAGTCAGGATGATTTGATGGCAGATACTTTTCTTGGATGTTTAAAGCCTTTTCATAACACAAACGAGCTCTCTCATGGTTGCCGATACGTCGATATACTAAACCAACATTCACATAATAAATTGCGAATTCAATATGATCAGGTTCGAGATGTTTTTGCTTAATTTCGAGAACTTTTTCATAATATTTCAGTGCATGTGAATAATCACCCATGCTAAAATAAACTTGAGCGATGTCATTGTATGGAGCACTAAACCATAAATGATCTGATGATAGTTTCCGATGTGCAATTTTCAATGCTTTTTCTTCCAATCCGAGAGTTTGACTAAAATCACCTTGTGTATGTTTAATTGAACCAAGTCGATGATATAATGACATTTTTTCCAGTCCATTTGATGTTTTTTCAAGTAGATTTATATAAATTTGTTCGGATTTGTCGATTTCACCTAGTCTGGTAAGGAGCACACCCAGCCGATACCACGGTTCTTCTTCCGATACCTCGTTTTCCAAACTTCTTTTGAGATTTTCTAATTCTGGACCTTTATCATCTGTTAATCTTAAACTAATTCCCCAAATGTTTCCAGACTCATATATATTTTTAATTTCATCAATACGAAAGACACTATTCATTGAAAAGAGTATTTCTTCTTCTGAGTCAAAACGACTCAAATCTCGTATATTCGCAAAAGGAACAGTGTTTAGGGATGTATCAACACTTATTGTAAACAGCACACCTACTGAATCTGAGTTATGAACATTACTTTCAGTGTATGCGAAAGCTACCTTTTGATCTACGCTTGTCGACAGAAAACAGTTGAAAGACATTAAACCTTGTGAACATTCTTTTAATTTGTTCAAATCCTTCTTTGATAACGACTGTCCTCGGTATACTGTGAGGATTTTACTGTTAATCATTTGTTCTGAGTGTAGTTGACTAATTTGACGATGAAGGTCTCGTAGAAAAAATCCCATCTTGAGAATTACATCGACATCAAATTTTCGTAACGCTCGGTTAAGTAATGAATGTAAAAAATATGACGAAGTATACCATTGGATCGATGCATCTGGTTCATAAGCCTTTTGAAATTTATCGATATTCTTTAATATGCTCTGATTATGAGCGAATGTATCGCGACAATAAGTTACGAATTCAATTCTGTGACCTTCATTAAAGTCAAGGGTAAGTATGATTTCTTTTAATATTTGTAAATACATAAACGACGGATTAAATTGGTTTGCCTGCCGTTCGGGTAAATTTTCTTCTCCCAGAAAGCTGATTGGCATGGCATTTTGATCATATAATCGCGTTACTTGTTTGATTGCTTGATACATTGAGGCAATATCTGTGAAAACACCTTTAACTTTCATCCAATCCTTTGCCCACTGGTTATGAAAATTCTTCTGGTAACAAAATACATAAATCGAATCGAGCTGAGGAACACTATGGATACAAGGTGTGATTTGTTCACCGAGTGAACCAGATGTTATTAATATTACGTTCTCATCGTCAACATCAGTGATAAAATTGATGCATTCATCAATATCTGCAAATGTATACAAAGAATTAACAATATCCTGTAATCTAACGATTGAATTAAAGGTATCATTATTTGGTTGATCGATTGTAGGATCTAACCAGACAACAAAGAAATCTTGCAGTACACGTCGTCTCAATGGTTTATCAAGTATTTGTGTTGTGGGAGCTGTTGTTAATGACAAAACGTCACCTGAAATGCCTCACAAAATTAATATGATATTCTTTTGTTTCAAGGTGAGTGCTGGCTCGTACTTACCATTCGTTTGCTCGTCATTCAATCGAAGATCTTTAATAGAAAAAGAAATTCTTTAGTGAAAACAATGCGAAAAAATCCTGCCGACCTGAGATCTTGAGACCGCGGCTTCCCTGCCCAGTAGGAACTAGAAACGAATGAATTGATAGTTGAAATTCCAATTCCATGTCAATTCTTACTCGATTGAATAAAATTCGAAAGACCGAAAGTTTCCCATATAAAATTTCCTTGTCTGTCAACTATTACACACGCCAATCTTGGAATATCAGGTAAGTGTTCAGCAAAATGCAAACGACGAGCTACAGTTGAATGAAGTTTATGAAACACGTCATTTCCTCGTTTAATGAATTCAGCTCGAAGATTATTGCACATTCTTAACGGTAATCTAAATTAAGATATGAAATTGGTAACTTTATAGAAATAGTCAGTATTTACCTATAACTGTCATTCTGTGTTTTTCCTGATGGTTCAATTTCAATACGTAATGGATTAAAAGCGATTGTATCTGAATCATTACCGTCAGGTAAAAAACTTTTCTTTTGATGTAAACGCCAGATAATATGATTTTCTTCGCATTCTTCGACAACAAAGGCGACAGCTATTCTGATTGGATCTTCTTGAATATACTTCTTTGGAATCTTAAAATTGAATAAAACGTTCATTTTTCGGAGTAAATGTTAAAATCTCACTCTTATTTCAGGTAGGATCGATGCATATCTTCCGTTAGTTAAATCTTTGATTCCTTGAACACGTCGAATATTAGTGAAAGTTGTTGCTTGCTGCAATTCATTCAGATCGTTTGATGAATATGAATCTATTTCATATGGAACAACATCACGCAAAAATGTTATATGATCAACTGAAGAAAAATCATCGGTTAAAGTCAAATCATCACTTTCGTCCATCCTTGTTGGATCAAGAATTACTGACTCGATTTCAGCACTTGCTGCGTCGGACATTAATTTATCTATGATATCAATAGGTAATGCATTTCCCACTGATGCATTTGGTGACAATGGTAAATCATCTAGTATGGGAAATAATTCTATGGTTGAAAAGAACTTTTAGCCAAATTTACCTGATGAATTCATTCTTTTTTCAGTGTCATTTATTGTTGAGAATGATACTAGAGCGTTCAGTTTGCTTTTCGGTATTTTAGGTAAATTTTCTCGGAGATGCCGATCGTATTCATGGTCAAAATCAACATAACATTTTATTTGTTCATCATAAACTTGAAGTATAAACGAATTTCGATTCAAATGAAAATAAGATGAGATATAATCAAGAATATTCTCCGTAGACATTGTTAGTTCGACAGATAACGTAACCGTTCGATAATTACAATAAATAATCAAATCATACGAGGCCATAAAATGTCTAAAGATTCAACTGAAATGAAATAATTTATCGCATTTGCACTTTGAAGGTCTCTGTAAGAAGGGTAAAAAGTTATCGTTCAGATATCTTTAAAGACATATCGACTAGCTTGAAAGTACCATTAGTGGCTTCTTCAACTGATTTTAAGTTGACACCGAACTGAAAAAATCAGTACTATAAATTTCTGATTCTGTTGTATATGGCAAAGTTATCTATACACATTGTATGACTTACATCGAGATAAGTCGTTGGTGTAGTTCTGGTATGAATTGAGTAACAGAGTATCTTGGACATGTTTATGTTTTTATTAAAGGGAAAGAACATATAGCGTTTTTTTTTTCTTTTTGTTCTGTGAATAGGACGAAAAACACGCGTCTCAACTGACGGTTGGAAAATTTCAACGTGTAAAAATAGAAATAATCAATTTCAACGAATGATTCAGTCGCAAATTTTTTAGTCGTAAACATAAGAACGAGAAAAAAATATATAAAGACTTTACTCGAAGAAAAAACACAGCATTTTCTTTCCTTTTCTCAACCGAGCGCTGAAAAATAAGGTTGGAATATGACTCATTTTTCCAGCCACATGTCTTTGGTCAATGTGCTATACACAAAATAAACTGATACAATAACTAAGGTTTGTATTGTCCTTCGTTAATCATACTCTGATTCCGTCCTTCTAATAGAATAAATTTTGGAATAGGAAATTTTTTCACGATTGTTTTGTGTAAGTTTATTTGAATGTTGGTTCGTTGTATTAGATGTAAATAAAAGACAAACGTGAATATTTTATATAAGCTTTGTTGCGTCAAATTCCTCAAGGCCAAATTTAATAAAAAATTCAGAGAAAATGGAGTTGATAATATTTGAAAAACTAAATAATTGTTACTAAGATTCATAACCTATTGTCTCACATATCGACAAATAGACATTTCCTTCATATCATATTTATCCAATATGAATATCATTGAAATTTGTATTATTATTGTTTTAGTGCTTGAAAAGCAATCATGGCAATTCGAATCAAATTAAGTTATACTTTTAAGAATGAGGAACATCATCTCAGAATGGATTTAGACCGATCACCCGCCTCATTGCAAGAAGTTTATAAAAAAGTGTCACAAAGAACCGGTTTTCTCGAATTTAAATTGCAAATAAAGGATGACCTTCTTGACTTCGTCACTTTGGATGAAATTCATTTCACCAGTTTTCGACCATTTGATATGATTCAACAGCTTCAGAATTTCGGACCTCAACCAACAACAGAACGACCTTTCTTGGAGTTGAAACTTGTGAATATATGCGGTAAAGATCCGTTGGTGACGGAATAATCATACTCTATGAGATTTATATAGATGAACAAATATCAAAACTGAATGCTTCGTCAATCGTCTACGATCATCCGGAACGTAAGCAATCAAGGGCGGGCGATGGTGTGAAAGTTGGTTTAGAGAATGCTGATGCATTCACTTATGCCAATATAAAATATTTTTCTAATACTTGATTTGCTTCGATTTTGTTTGTTTTCTTTTTCAGAAAATTCGGATTCAGATCAACCTGAAGATGAGCAGCCAAAGTCATCGTCTGAAGTTGATTGTCACCCTATATGTGCACCTCATCCTGTCAGATTGAATAAAAAGTCCGGCATAGTGTTTACAACTGATATAAATATTACATTACGTGATGATTATCAAGATCAACCAACAAAAAAGAAGTCTGGAAAGAAAAAAGTCTCCCTGGTGAGGATTCAAGGTGATAAAAGTCACCTGAAAGGAAAGGCGAAACAACAATCTGTTCTTCCAAAAATTCGAGTAAGTTTCCCGAATATCTTCATGAAAAACTGAATTCGAATTCATTGTTTCAAGGTTGCCAAAAGATTAGTTCCGAAGACATCGGAACTCAATTTAAAATTCTTTCTTGCAGAAGAAATCTGTGAAAATGGAGTTCGTACTCTTTATCACCATTCAACTCATGAGTTCTTCGAAAAGGAGAACAATAAAACAATTAATTTGGGCCAAATAAATAAGTAAATGATAAAGATGAAGTCACTTTTGTTTATATTTGAATGTAAATCATTAATATTTCTTTTGCAGAAATACTCCAAGGAAAACCAGTGTTGATATTCCGTTCAATACGAAAATGCTCAACGCAAAGGGAGCGAAGTAATCTCGTTCTTTTTATTCTCAACTATATTCGTTGATCTAGGATCGAATTGAGAGCAAAAGTTGTTATTCATGCTAAATTACATTCGAATGAAAAAAAACATCCATTATGCCAATTAGAAGATCAGTATCAAAATGATATGAATTATACAGTTACACGGGTGATCATTGTACCTGATTATGATGGAAATTTACAATGGGAGGAACTCGCTCTATCTGCCGCCACTGTATTTTGTAGTACGGTTTTTTAAATTGATTCTGTTCGAAACCATACGAATACTTTTTAGAAGGAAAAGATCAAATTCCTACTATTGATGCCATCGATGAGCTCGAAGACAGAATCGAACGCATTCCTAAGCTGGAACCTCGGAAAGCAGATAAAAATAGTACAAACTTCGAGATTTGCTCTTTGCATCTGTATTTGCTTGTTTTTTTCAGCGAAGACGAAATCAATGTGCAATTCAACTACTGATAAAACTGCAATACCTGGAAAATGTGTATCACGAGAAACAATAACAAATGACAGTAACGAAATGGGTGAATGTGAACTAGCAAATGATTATGCCCCAGAAGAAAGTGTTTCACCAACTAGAAACTTGCTTCATGACATATCTGGTTTAAATACACCATCAACGGTTCTTTACTTGGTGAGTTGAATTGTGGCTTCGTGTGACTTTTGAGTATCTAGTTGTGTAGTTGTAAAGAGTCGGTTTGTGACTTGAGTTTCAAGGTGTTAGTGAAGAAAACGGATTTCCAAACGATTTTACGTCGGAGTTTTCATTGCAGAAGGTCGTAAAAGAAAAAAAAAGAGATTCAAGTGCCTTAGCCGTGAATACAGATTCAGAAAATGCTGATCCCCACACAGTAAAAACATCAGAACAGGGAAAGAATAGACGCGGCTTCGTTGCTTTTGACATCGAATTATTTTGTATCACCTTCATCTTTGATACGTTGTCTTGGTAATAATTTATATCGATCTGTGCTCTTTTAGGTGCAAACAACAACACCCAACCTCCAAAATCCTTCACCTGCGCCGTCCAATTTTACAGCAAATAACACTGGTTCTGACGAAATTATCAATACTACGGATAACATTTTTTCAATTTCGGCCTTTTTAGACGTCCGTTTACTTTTTATTCGTTGAAGATAAGAACTCTCGCATTTTACTTGTTTTAGGAACTCGTCTCCGATCTCGGCTATCAAGACAACTCACTCAATCTCCCTCAGTTGGATTCTGAAATGACGCAACAATTTTTCGACAATCTGAATCCGGATCGGGACAAAGAGGGAACTAAAACTACTCCTCCAATGAGCGAACCTGAACCACCTGACAAATAATCTTCCTCTTCTTTTCATAAAAAACGAGTCTTAGCACAATAAATCGCTTTGTCTTACTCGTATGTCCACCCTTTTTTATTAACAGAAAATAAAATAATATGCAAAACGAAAAATTCTCTACATACGGAATGATCAAAAAGTAATCAGAATTGAGAACACACGATTTCTACGCGATTCCTTCAACGAACGTTATTTCTCTTTAAATTATTGATAGGTTGATATTTTCTAGATTACAAATCAGTGTCACGGATATGTATCTCAGTTAGACAAAATTGTACTGATTGACTTAGAATATAAATGAATAGTAAACGAAATCTTCTTATACCATTGATATGTTTAATGTCATGAGGCAATCGAAGTTGTTTTTGAGTTAACCGATGAACAAGAAAGAGTTGATGACGTGTAAGACATCGTCGAAAATGTCTATTAACAAATCAATAATGATATCTCATTGTTGCAAATGAGACAGGTGGAAAAAGTTTTCAGGACAAAAATCGAATTGATTTAGTCCCCTGCATCGATGTTGCGATTCAATGACATGACATCAACTATCACCACCGTCTTTTTCGGTATATGTATACCACTGATTGTGATCTCTTGATTTGACTATTCAGGAACGTTGGCATTCAATAAGAACTCGATCAATATATTTGACATTGTTCAAAAATGCTAAGATAAAATCGACGATTATACAAAGAGATCTTTTCTGAGTTGATGTTGAATATTCGGATGCATCGCTACCAGTATTAATGTGTACATAAGTATTTCAACAGTATCGTCGTTCAGTGCTAACTGATCTTCAACAATTGTCTCAATTATTTCATCGAGTGTAATCGAAGGATTCCGATCTCGTGCAGAATGAACTAGAAGAGAAATATTTCCCTCGACATCACTTTAATGATAAACAGATAATTTAATAGAAAGTAAAACGAATGTTTTTTCCTCTGAATCAATTTAAGACTCTCAAAAACTTCGATTACTATAAGTGTTCATTAGATATTTTATCCAGAAATGGACCCTACTTAATGAGTTGATCTTTGAAAAGGTAAGATTTCTCTTATATAAAATATCCACCAACTATCACACCCTCAAATTTTCATCGGGTTGAACTCGACAACTAAGGTGAAGAATCGAGAACGTTCGATGAATATTTGTATTCACTTTCAGGAATAATATTTTCCTTTCCAATTTTATTATGATGGATTAGAAAAATATGTTTGGAAAAGCAACTGAAAACACTTTGTCAATCAAATAATATATCAAGACCAATGTTTTCGTAGTTGATACTATTGTTCTTCTTTAATTGAAATTGATAGCAAGGCGTAATCGTAAAGTTTCAGAAGTTTCAATCAGATGAAGTAACCTACGCATCTCTGGGCAGGGAGGTAAACCAGAACTTCGATGAATACCGAGAGCTTTTTGCAAATACATAATTGATATTCCATATTCCCCCTGCTTCTCATAAGCATATGCAATTTCTATGCAAACACTAACTAATGACGAATGGTTATCACCCAGACGCTTCTTTAAAATAGCCAGACATTTTTCTAAACATTCAAGTGCTTCCTCATACTTCTCTATTCTACAATATACTACACCCATATTTTTATAACCAGTAGCTAAATTAGGATGATCATCAGAAAGACATGCCTGGTAGATATGAAGTGCTTTTTCGTAATAGGACACGGCTTTCACAAAATCTTCTTGATTCAAATGCGCTTCACCAAAGGCACAGTAAACCACTGCTAATGATTCATGACCTTCGGGCAATGTTTGCTGAAAAATAATGAGTGCGTTGTTCAAGTATAACATTGCGTTGTCATAATCATGTTGATATAAATACATTCTGCCTAAATTCAAACAGATGGGTGCAAAGTCATGCCGATTGGTACTACCATTTTCTTCATGAATACGAAGTGCTTTTTGATAATATATAAATGCTTCTTCAACGTTTCCATTGTCCTTATACGTTCCGGCGAAAGTATTGTAAGCATTCGCTAATGATGGATGGTTGTCTGGAAGCACCTTCTCCAAAATGCTAACTGCCATTTTGTTGTGGCTCAGTGCCGTAGTATGATCTTGCATCTGCGCATAGCATGCACCGATATTAAGATGAATATGAGCCAAATTTATATGATTGGGAGGAAGAAATTTCTTTGAAATGAGAAGTACTTGATTGAATCTAGATAATGCCTCATCATATTTTCCCATATGATAATAAACCATACCAATGTTGTTGTAGTGATCATCCGCTTCAATATTATCGAGTGAATGCAATTTCTTGTGAATATCTAGTGATTTTTCAAGACAGATCAAGGCATTTGAATAATCTCCAGTTTCGCAATATAATGAGCCAACCTCCTTGTAATACGTTCTGAAAAAGTTATCAGCTTTATAACATCTTGCGTTTATCACAATGGAAAAGACTTTCGCATAATATTCGAAAGCTGCATCATATTTACCTAATCTTTCATTGATCCGTCCTAAATTTATATAACAATATATTTCGTCAATTAATAGCTTCGACTGATTAAGTAAATCAAGATAAAATTTTTCTGCTGTATCATATTGTCCAATCCATAATAATAATGTTCGAAGCTCTTCCTTTGTTGGAGGAGTGGGCATTTTAATATCCTCAACAATTTGATTGAATAGTTGACGCAATTCTGGGTCATCATCAGCCGTGAGCGTTAATTGAACTTCATAGACTTGTTGACGTTTATCTAAACACTCAATATCTTCTATGCGAAATACACTGTGCATTGAAAATAGAATCTCGGCTTCCTCTGGATAATTGCTTTCCCTCTCGATGTTGGCAAATGGTGTTGATTTGATCTTTGGATCAACGGTAATTACAAATAGAACACCAAACATTCCCTCTTCGTCTGAATTGCTTTCGGCATACATTTTACCAACCTTTTTATCACTACTTGTTGATAAGAAACAATTAAAAGACATAAGTCGTCCTTTGTTCGTCTTCAATTTTTCAAAATCGTTGAACGACAGTCCTTGACCACGGTAAAAATAAAGGTTCTCATCAACAGATTTGGAAATATATTCCTTATGACGTTGTTCGATTTGATAATGAAGATCGCGAATGAAAAACCCCATATTGATAAGAAGATCTCCTTCTAAGAAACGAAGAGCACGATTGACCATGCCAAAGACGAATGTCGATTTACTGTAATACCAAATCGCTTTATTAGGGCAATACTCTTTTTCAAATTCAGTAATCGATTCTAACTCTTTCGATTTATCAGCGTATTTTTCTCGATAGTACGCGACGAGCGTATTGAGAGATTGTGAATCATGATCCATTTCAAGTAAAACCTTCTTGAACAATCCAGTATACATAAATGTAGGTTCCAGTCGATTTTTATTAGAGTCCGATTCATTTTGACCCGTACTTTGAAATGAGATCGAAACATTATTTTCATTGGCTTGTCTAACAATCTTGGAAAGAGATTCAACAAGAGGTCTAATATTGTCATAGACACCATTGATTTTGTTCCATTGTTTATCATAGGTTGAATTAGTACCGATCAAATAAATAGAATCGACCTGTGGTACAATATGAATCTCAGGAACAAGATTTTCTTTGTGAGAACCAGAAATAATAAAAATAACTTTTTCATTGTGCAGTTGGTTCATAAACTGTAAACAAATATCCATGTCGTTGAATAAAACGACTTCACTGACTTTATTTTGTAATTGCGTCAATGTGTTTTGGAAATCTTCACCATTTTCATCAAGATGTTCATCGAAATAAACGATCAAGAAATTTTCCAGAACAGGTCGCATGAGACGAACTGGATTGAGTTGTTGTGCTGGGCAAGTTAGAATCTGACTGAAATCATCAGACAGAAGTTCACAAGTGGATTTTTTCATATGTGTGTTTTGATAGTATCTAAAGAAAATTTCATTCAATATATGTCAATAGATTAACTAAGCTCAGTTATGATAACAGGCGACGAAACCACTTGGATTGAAGAGGTTGACAATCGCTAATGTTTTCGAAAAAACTTCAACAATATCACGAGAAAAATAATGTCATGTTGTGTCTCTCCGCGCAATAAATCTATGTCCAAAAAGATAGAACGAGAGAAAGAGAAAAACAAAAGAACGTATGATACGAATACATATCCTCATATATATGTGATAATTACTGATGGAAGAAGTATTTGCGTTTATTCTTTCCAACCTAACGTTCACATATAAAAGTACGCAATTTTGTATTCTGCCGTAAGACAGAGAGATGGGTGATTGAAAGAGGAAAACGAAGAAAATGAATAGAACGATATAGTCACATATCATTTCAAAATGCAAGAATTAAGGAATCAAAGAGCGAAAAGAACACGATGGATAAATGGTCCTGTCTTATAACAAAAGATGGAAGTCCGACGTACAGAAAGGAAAAAAAGAACACAGTATATGTTTTCATGTGATAAGTTATTTTTAAACATAAATATAAAAAGAAAAATGCTGATCTGTCTATTTCTTCATTATGTCTTTAGTTATTGTAATACCTGCGATCATTTGAAATCAAAAAAAGTTAACACTATATTCGAGTATTTTTCGTTCAGGTACATCTGAGAACTTGTGTAGAATTTAGAACTTAATTCTTTATCAAATGATATAATTGTCAAAATACGTCACTGACTGAAAAAAAATCGTCACAGTCATACTCAGATCCTCATTATGACGATTTTGATGGGATAGATGTGCGTGCTGGTGGAATCACCTCTTCTTATTTCTTTCTATGAAAAATTACATCGTTCTAATGCAGAACATACGCCTATAAATTCGTATAATAAAAAGAACGAAAGGTAATGTAAAAATACATCGACACGTAGGAATGGACGGAGTTATAGACCAGACTCGGATTCGGCGCAAGCGTACTGTTAGGTCCGTATAGTGTGATAGAACTAGTTTATTTTAAAATCGTACAACAAGACGAACTTCCATAAAAAGACGAGAGCTATTTATATAGTATGCCACACACCTAGTTAGAATATACTAGATAGATTTCATCTAATCTTGTAAAATTCCAAAGATGTTATTAAAAGGAAAGAAATCTAGATGAAGCTCCTTGGGAAATCCCTATTAGGATTGCGAATGAGTGATATCTATAGTAATCATATGTATATAAGAGAAGAAAGAGAGCGAACATATGGAAAAGACCCTATGTCATGAATCATCTTATGGTACGTCATATTACGTGCCATAACACGTACTTTAATTCTATGGAATAAAAATGTTAACAAACGAAATGAGTTTTTCGAAAACAATTGCCAGTATATGGAAGAATATATGCATATCCTTAACCCTAGTACTCCCTAGCCTACTTTTAGCGATAAAAATAGAATACATTTTGAGAAAAATATTTTTTCTCTCTTTTCAACAAGCGTCTGATTAAAACTGGGTTGTTTTTAAGTATTAGTCAATCAAAAAAGACTAGACTAATAGGTTTTGTTTATTTAGAACAATTAATACAAAAAACGCGTTTCATACTATGTTGTTTTCATACAGGCTCGGAACATTTGCGCGGCATGTGTTAGAAAGTTTTCTGTCACTTGACGTAAGAAGAACGCCATAGAACATACTTGAGTCATGAAAAGAAATCGAGAATAGTGATAGAAATTGTTTGATTTATTCATAAATACTGATGATAAGAAAGGAAAGGAAAATATGTGCATAGTAGAATGATATTCTATCAAACATGTATTTCTTTCAAACGAGACAACTATACATTATTTACAATGTCTTTCATACTTCCATCCATGAAAAAAAAAGATTTTACAGTATTTTCTAGCATCTCAATAACAGGATCCATTTAGACCCTGGCTATGGTAGTACTAGGGTTAATATGTTAGTCTTACCTCGTCCTTCATCATCGAACTTCGATCCAACTTGGAAGAAGATTAGAGAAAAACGAATTTATTCTCATGTTGCTGTTGTGGAAGCTACAACGTCGAACATAAGCTTCGATTCTCGATATTTACCAACTATGGAACAAATCGATGAAGGATCAGCAGAATTTTCCACGCACGTTTTGACAAATAAAGTCTTTTACTTGTCTACGAGTTGCAAGCTGCAATGGTTATGATCGAATCAATTCAAGTCGAAGTCGAACTTGTGAATTGTTATACAAAACGAACAACGTTCATTTGGTAGCCGGTTTAGTCTTATATGCAATGAGAAACAAGAAAAAGAATTTTTCGAATTTATTTGATTGTTTATTTCAAACTTCATTCGTACAAGCCATTCCAGTTATTGATGATTTTAAAAAAATGATCGTTTCTTCATAACTTGGTAATTTATCTTAATCTTCTTGATAACCTCCATTCATTTATCTTTGATCTCTTCCATTGTCATTCTAGGTAATGCTGTGCGCATTTCTGGCTCAACTGGAATTGCATCGTTGTATTGACAGTTTTTGTTGTCATTTATTTTATTTTCCTTTAATAAAGGACATCAGATAACTTGTTAACGCAGTTCTTTGAGAACTAATATATGCGAATATCTTGGTGCTAAAATCTTTTGTATAGGAAATATCGAGATGCTTATTCAGAATTTGAAGCGTGAACAAAAAAGAAATGTTAAAAATTATCAAATTTAGAAACTGGAAAATTTTCTGTCTCATATATTGAAATCGGTTGAGACCATCTCACAAGAACACTTTTTGATAGATTTAAACGTAGTCACTGAGGATCATTACTCATCCTTGAGACCTCGAAACGTTCTATGAATACATTGGAAGTGGTATATTGTTTGATGACAGAAATAACGAAGGTGTCGAGAAATACGTTTCCAATGTATGTAGATGGTATTGACTAACGAAAATAATATTAATTACTATTACTGTATTAGATATTGTCTTCATCTAAAATAAAAGATAATGTGCGGCATGTTACTATTTCTTATTGCCTCGATGTTGACTATCGGCATTTTTATCCAAGCAGTTCTCCTTAAAAGAATAACTGAATTTCGACACCCAACGAGAACAATATTATTAGAGAGGATAACAACTCATGCTAATAAACCAAACACGACAAAAGAAATAGTTCATTATTTATATCTCTCGATCTAACAGAAAATATCGCTTCTACTAAATAATCACATAGGTTCCACCTTTCATTTCACTGATGCATTTTTTTATCAAGTCACTTATGAAACTGCTCTGAACCGACAGTCAATCGCAGTAGCGGATTTTAACATGGACTCAAAACCTGATCTTGTCATTGCAAATCGCGGTTGGAATGACGTCGGAGTTCTTTTCAACGCAAGCAATGGCACATTTCTTGACCAAGTCACTTACGCAACGGGCTCTTGAGTCACACATAGTGGTCGATATCGATGTGCACTTGGATTCTAAACTTGATATTATTGTTGCTAAATCTGATTCAAATAACATCGATATCCTCTTACATCGCTAAATATCGACTCCGAATTGAATTTGACCTTTACTTCTTGTCAGAAATATTCCCCAACATACATCCGTTGAAAACGGCATGATTGGAGGCTCTGAACAAAACTAATCTTCGCTTTCGATGAATAAACTCGAATAAAAAAGCGGTTAAATTTGAATAAAAGAAGAAATGAATATTTTGTTAAATCTCATTTATTTCTTGTCTAGTGTTGAATGCATCATAAATCTAACAGATATTGGTTATCGAGGAGTTTCGATAACATGGCGTCGTTTGAAATCCAATGATTTGAATAAAATTTCGATGGAATTCTTAGTGACATTGGCATTATCAGATAAATCCTCTCATCTATGTGATTCTTATCATTCAAAATCGATTCCAATTGAATCTTATCTTGGACTTCAATGTTTAAACTCTTCTGATCATTGTCAATCTTGGTCATTTCAACTTTCAAATATGGAATGTCACTCGAAATCACACGGTTAACAACTATTTTCTTTTNACATACTTGAGTCATGAAAAGAAATCGAGAATAGTGATAGAAATTGTTTGATTTATTCATAAATACTGATGATAAGAAAGGAAAGGAAAATATGTGCATAGTAGAATGACATTCTATCAAACATGTATTTCTTTCAAACGAGACAACTATACATTATTCGCAATGTCTTTCATGCTTCCATCCATGAAAAAAAAGATTTTTACAGTATTTTCTTGCTTTTCAATAACAGGGTCCATTTGGACCCTGGTTGGTATAGTACTAGGGTTAATATTGTTTTTTTCCAACGTCTATGTTGGAAACTAGTCACATACCAAAATATTTTCTTCTGTGTTCTTGGTAAATACCTAAAAGACTTGCACTTGGGCAGTAGGAGCAGAACAATCTTTGTTGGTATATCTTCAGCTGAAAATGCACAAAAGTATATTAGAACATCAATTGACTCATTAGAACTTCTGAATCGCGGATCATAGAGCGAGGATCAGTGTCGTCTATGTATTTGTCGTTATATTTATTCTTACACAAATTTTCCAGACGTGCTGATAAGTCAGAAGTGTCGTCAGTACACTTTTAGCTTTCTTCTCATCGTTCTTTCTTTCGATAGTGCATTTTGAGGGTGTGGAAAATAGAATTATCTAAGACCTATGCTCTCATCTACTTATCCACAATTAAAAGCATGAAATATCACAGGTATATTACAGTTTCGAGTTTTTATTGAAAATTATACACTGAATACTTTTTTTAAACTCTAAAAGTCAAGTTTTGACAGTTTAGGACATTGGATTAATTTTTCTTCTTTTGCATTTTAACGTAATCCATCTGATGAATGCTACCAATCTTGGTATAACAATCTTTAAAACAGTTATTAATCCGCCAACTAGTCCAAATAATGCTGTTAATATATAAACTAAATTATTCCTTGTTTCATAACTATAAATACATTCGATTGGTGCACATTGATTATAATAATTTTCATGTCTATCATTATAAATCCATCGTTCGATCATTAAATTATTAATCATTTGTTTTATCGTTGAATTAATAGCATAGTTCGTTGGTAATGATGAATCAAGAGTAGTGATATTTATTCGAGAGGAGTGATTAAGGTAAAACTGAATGTCATCCAAACACGTTTGACTATAGAAACACTTAAGATTAGATTGAAGAAGTGCTTCGACAATATAACAACCACGATGTATTCCCGGGACAGTAAATAACTGTTTTGAACTATTATACTGATAAATAAAACCTTCTGCAGTACATGTTGGTGTAGTATGACAACGACAACTATTGTAAGAGTCAGGAAGAGCCGTTAATGCTCCATTAAATAATTGTTTTCTAAATTCATAGTTTGTTAATCGCCCAGAAAATATATCATTGCTCTGAATTATACGCCTTATTAGATCAAATGAAATAAGGAAATGGTTTGTTGTTATTGATTTAACTTGATCGATAAATGTTTTAATCTGTAATGAAAACAATTTCAAAGATGTCATACTTGCACTGACATATTGATTCGAATAAAACTGTAACAAGCTGCTTGATATTGCTTGATTGGATAACTCACAAGATGCTTTCAGTCCCTGAAATATCAATGTACCAAATAATCGAAAGTCTTGATGAGCTACATGACCAGAACCATCGTGAACACCAATATATTTGAACCAATCTTGAGTAACGAAGAAACTTGAACATACTTGATGTAATGTGAAATTAACATAAAGAATTTCCTTATAATCAATTAAGATCCTTTTACATGGACAATTAAGTGTTGTCGAATATTTAGAGTCTAATTCCTTATATTGTTTATATGTTGGTGTTTCCTTAATCTCTGTTTTTGTTATTGTAATAATTGAATTGTATAGAATAAGGATGAATAATGATACGATAAAGACAAGGATAAATAATTTTGTAGAAATTCGTTGATTTCGAAGTTCCTGTTCGTCGTTGGATGGTGGAATTGATGGAAAAAGATTAATTGTTTTTATAGAATTGATCGCCTTTTGCAATATTGATAGACTTTGCTCGTCATTATTTGTTTCTGAAAATGAAACGCAAAAATTCATTTTTTACAATCCGTACAGATATAGTGAATATTTCTGTTTCATTGCTGCTTTGCAACAGTTTATCTTTTAAATATAGGATATATTCAACGTTTCCATTTATGATATCGAAAATATGCAGATATTTAGATATGATTTCATTTTCTCTCACCTGACTCTGGTGTCCGTTCTTGTCTTCCCCTTCGTCTGATTCTACTCGTTACGAAATTGACAATTGTTGGTATAATAATTTTTAAAGCAGTTACTAAACCACCAATCAATCCAAATAATGTTGTCACAATATACAATAAATTATTCTTTGCTTCATAAGTATAAGTACATAGAATTGGCGCACATTGACTGTAATAATTATCGTATTTACTAAACTGATTCCATTTTTCAATCATTAATGTATTAATTATGTGTTTTATTGTTGAATTAATAGAATAGTTAGATGGCAATGTTGCATCCAGAGCTGTGATATTCTTCTTGATACGATTGTTAAAAAAGTAGTGAAGTCTATTCAGACAAGTTTGATTGTAGAAACACTCAAGTGTAGATTGAAGAAGTGCTTCGACTACACCACATCCTCGATAAAATCCAGGTACAAAAAGCATCGGTGCTGGATTAGGCATGTTGTAAATTGTACTGCGTTCGATACATGTTGCTGATAGGTGACAATGACATCGCAAGTATGATTTTGAAATTGAATCAACTCCAGATCCAGGTGACGTTTTTCCTACGAGTCTGTAGTTCGTCAATCGTGCAGATAGTAGAGCATTTGTATGAATCATACTCAATGCGATATCGAATGAAAGAAGAAAATTCTTTGTAGTTGTCGACTTAAATTCCTCAATAAATGTTTCAATATGTGTTTGAAATAATTCGCGAGATGTCACACCTGCACTGAAATATTGATTTGAATAAAAGTGTATCAAACCATTGAAGATTGTTCGACTAGCTAATTCACAAAGCGACTTTAGTGCTTGAAATGCTAATGGGCCTAACATTCGAAAGTCCTGGTTAACCATGTTTTCGCTTCCACGAGAAAGAGAAAGATAGTTAATCCATTCTTGTGTGACAAAGAAACTTGAACATACTTGATGTAATGTGAAATTAACATAAAGGATTTCATTATAATCAATTAAGATCTTTTTACATGGACAATTAAGTGTTGTCGAATATTTAGAGTCGAGCTCTTTGTATTGTTTGTAGGTTGGTGTTTCCTTAATCTCTGTTTTTGTTATTGTAATAATTGAATTGTATAGAATAAGGATGAATAATGATACGATAAAGACAAGGATAAATAATTTGGTGGAAATTCGTTGATTTCGAAGTTTCTGCTCATCGTTGGATGGTGGAATGGATGGAAAAAGATTCAAAGTGTTAACATACTTTTTAAATAGAATTAAAGGGTGAGTTCGTTGATTCATGTCGATCCCTAAAAGAAGATGGAACTCCGATGTATTTTCTTAAAGAAGGTAAAATTTTAGTTATTAAAAATTACCCTCTTCAATAATCTACTTAATTTACTATACAGAAAACGTCTCATTGTACAAAACAATCATTTTCATCAATTTCTCCTTCTGCAAAACATACGAAAGGAAAACACATTTACTTACTACTTTTTGGTGTCCGTTCTTGTCTTCCTCTTCGTCTGATTCTACTCATTACGAAATTGACAATTGTTGGTATAATAATTTTTAAAGCAGTTACTAAACCACCAATCAATCCAAATAATGTTGTCACAATATATAATAAATTATTCTTTGCTTCATAACTATAAATACATTCGATTGGTGCACATTGACTGTAATAGTTTTCATGTCTATCATTATAAATCCATTGTTCGATCATTAAATTATCAATCATTTGTTTCATCGTTGAATTAACAGAATATTTCGATGGTAATGACGAATCAAGAATTGTTATATTTATCGATGAGGAAGAATAATTAAGATGATACTGAATTATATTTAAACACGTTTGATTATAGAAACACTCGAGAGTGGATTGAAGAAGTGCTTCGACTAAGTAACACCCTCGACGTATTCCAGGTACTATAAATATAGGATGAGGGTTTGGATGCTTGGAAATTGAAGTTAGTGTAGTACAAGTTGATGAGACGTCACATGTACAGTTTAAATACGAAACCGTATTCGCAACAATCTGTTGAATACTATTATACACCAGGAGATAGTTCGTATGTTTTGCAGATATTAAAGCGTTGCTTTGAACTAAACTTAAAATCTGGTCGAGTGAAAGGAGAAAGGTGTTTGTTGTCATTGATTTGAACTGATTAATAAATGTTCGAATTTGTGAGAGAAATAATTGCAAAGATGTCATAGTTGCACTAACGTATTGATTTGAATAAAACTCTTGCAAACTATTCAATATTGTTCGATTTGTCAAATCACAAAACGCTGTCAACGCTTCGAATAAATGTTTACCTATGTTACGAAAATCGTCAGAGTTTTGAGCAGTGTATATTGGACGATAAAAGAAATGTTCGATCCATTGTGGAGTAACAAAGGAACTTGAACATACTTGGTGTAATGTGAAATTAACATAAAGAATTTCCTTATAATCAATTAAGATCTTTTTACACGGACAATTAAGTGTTGTCGAATATTTAGAGTCGAGTTCTTTGTATTGTTTGTAGGTTGGTGTTTCTTTAATCTCTGTTTTTGTTACTGTAATAATTGAATTGTATAGAATAAGGATGAATAATGATACGATAAAGACAAGGATAAATAATTTGGTGGAAATTCGTTGATTTCGAAGTTTCTGCTCATCGTTGGATGGCGGAATTGATGGGAAAATATTGAAATTTTTTATGTATGACGCTAATTTTCTTATGAATTCCATAATGCTCCGAGAAATAATTGTCCCTATAAAAAGAGTAGAGAATAATATTAAAGAGATGTGAGTAATATTATTCTTATAGATTTCGGAGAGAATACTAGAAATTAGGTTAACTTTTCCCGGACTGCTCACTTTTTTTCTTTTTAACGAAGTAGTCTTTCAGCTTTTTTTCAGTTTCGGATATTTTTAATTCACTTCGGGAGGAGAATCACATATCAGAGTGTTGATTTTGTTATAACAGAAATTATTTTGTCTTCTTTTTTTATTACTATAGAGGGACCATGTCCAGTATACAAATGTGTATCCTCATCTTCTTTTCCACTCATATCTTCAAAACTTTTCAAAATAAAATGTGATATGTCCCAATCCGTAGATTGGATCACACAGTTCATCCCTGGACATAGATATCACTATTTAGCTAATATTGATAGCATATTCAGGTGTTATTTAGATGATTTCAGCGAGATATAATGATATGTAATCAATATCTCTAAAGTACTTTCTTCCAGGTGTTGATGTATAAGTATCCCAACTTTTCTAAATAAAATCAGTCAACTTCTCACTAATCTAACAGAATGAAAGACGATAATTATCTATCAATTTGAATGCGTTTCCTATTAAGATATTTCAATTTTGGTCTCAGTAACAATGACACAGCAAAAACATTTATATACGTGTACGACATGGTGATGATAAATGTTTTGAAGAATATTATACTTCACATCTTTTTTAAATAGAAAGTAAAAGTTCAAATATGAAAGCTAAATTCTTTTCAAAATCTAATAACTGGTCTTCAAAAGATTGATAGATTACTCCAGGACTGTTTATGATAGTTTTAGTTTGGTCAGTCTATCTTATGTGTGTGGTACAGGGTATAGTAAATAGATCTTCGGAAATGTTCTGAAGAAAATAAATTCATTCATAAAAACAGTACTTACCTGTGCTATTTTAATGTCAATACAAGATTTAGAACAACAGTTAATTCGCACAAACTGAAATAAAACAATCGAACACATAAAATCGGTGGGCATTTATATAATAAAATATAAAGGAACTGGGATTGTCAGCGTTCCCAGTTCTCGTTCTTATTTAGAACGGAACGCAAAAATGACACCCATGAGAGAAACTGATTATTTAACACATAAATATATTGACAAAAATTGTTACATGTTATTGTTACTTATCCGTAGCAACAAAAAGCCTAGTATAATCAGTTGAAGGAAATTTCTCTATGAAAATAATATCATATGTCAAAGCATACTCCAAAATTATTATTTGATGATACAATTTGAGCTAGTTCCTTTTTCATTTGATAAAATTTTAAGTGATTACAGAAAGCGAGCAGTGTTCGGCAAGCATTGTTAGTATAGTTCCAGATTGCTTTTATTTTATTTTTCTATGCAGAACTCTTCAGATCTTGTCTCAGTTATCATACAACCCATTATTAGTGTATAAATGTTATTAACTTTTGTATTTATTTTGCTTGGTATATATGAACGATACATCTTATTCAAATTTTTCATTAATTGAATATGCATTCATTTATCTATTCATATTTATAGGTAAATATATTTGTAATAAACATTATGTTAAAATTAACGGGTGGTCCAGGATAAATGAGCGCCTAAGTATTTCGGTGACATCTTCCTCGTGCTTCATCTGATTGAACCAATTTTTTTTTTGAAAGACGCGCCGTTCAATTCTCTCTCAACGGTTANGATTCGTCCGGATGTTGTTCGGGAAAGTTGCGCTAGTTGGACGAATCGCTTGTATCGGTTGTCAGAAAATAATGGAGAATATTTGAGAGATTAGGAAATAAAGCCTTTGCGTGAAATCTGACGGCGATTCTTTCAAGACAAAGAACGACTCTATAAGTCAAAAATTGACCGAGATAAAGCGAAAATAGTCAGGCGCTCATTTATTCTGGACCACCCGTTACATTTAAATGAAAAATCATGAGTTGAATTTCCTTTTTATGTCTTGTTATTTTATAAAATAATATAACATATGAGATTTATTTTATTGTAAATACAGGGATTATAATAAAAACTGTTGATAACGTTTGATACAAATTGAAACAAGTAATGCTCGTCGAAGCAGACTCGCTAAACCCTCAACTGCATTTCTTTTCATTCTACTCTTGTCATAAGAGCTTTTCAAAAAATTTTATCAAGCCACTGATCTCGCAGTCGGTATTGCTCATATTTCGATGCGACCACAATCAAAGGTTTTCAAATCAATGGGCAAAAGGTCTCGACAAAATACAAGAAAAAGATATTCAATATACTTTAGACGAACTTTTCCCGTCAGATTGACCTTAAGATGTGTCATTGTCACATTACATTCTCTTCATCTACATGTAAAAGCGAGGTAGACAGTTGCCCATTTGTCTTTCCACAGACTGCGCCATTGACCAAAACGATAGATAAAAAGTATTATATTCCAAAACATCGAAATGCAGTTCGAGTAAAACGTTGAAGAATTAAAACGAATTGTTGTCGAAGTATAATCGATGTTAATGTATATGTAAGAAATGTTGTCTAAAATTGCAATAGAAAAACAAAAAAGACAAATGAATTAAGAAGATCTTACTGCACTGAAGAGATAAAGCGGATGAATCGTAACTCCATAAACAAAAACTTCAATAGCTTGTTGATTTGAACTTTTCACTTGTTTATTTGTGATGAAATCATAAAGAACATTACCAACAAAAGCAAGATTTAAGATTGCAAATGTCAAACTTTGAACTAAAATTAATCGAAGAAATTGCATATCCATCGATTGATTCGGTTTCGTTTGTTTAGGTTGTAAGACATTTGAAACTATTGATTCGGTTTGAATTCGACGTCGACTTCGACGAATATTCACAAGAATCAATAAACTACTGAAAATCATTATCAATAATGGTATAATGACACTCAGCACATTATAAATACTAAAGAAAACACCATAAGTGATGTTCAACAACGTGTAACATCGACTCATTTTAATGTTAAAACCAATCGCAGCATGTAAACTGAAGATCGTCGTGAGACATGTAACAACGATCGCCACGCATCATCGAATTGACTTATTTGTTGATGTGACCATCCATCGATCAATTGAGATCAAACAAACCAAAATGAACAAAATATAGTCGGCGTTTACAAAAGACGATCGATATGATTTCTAAATTGAGATTTGCTAAAGCCGGTAAACTTCGAGCTAAGCCACCGATGTCAATGAAGATTAAATTGGCAATGGATAATCCAATGAAATAATATAAGAACACGCATTTGTTGAACGAAATATACATTGACAAAAGGGAAAATGATATTTACAAGATTTGCAAATGTACTAAATATGTATATTAGGATCATGATATAACGAGTTAACGATGTTTGAATCGAATTGAGTTGAGTGATCAAGGGATCGAAGGAGGAACTCATTGAATTGATACTCTCAAATGCAAATTGATTCTTCTTCGTCTTATTGTGAATTACGAGGTTTATTTTGAGACAAAAAGATTTTCAGTAGATATGACGGAATAGTTCATTTTTATACTTTTGCGGAAAGTCATAGAAATGTATGAATTGTGTTCTCTCCAAGTTTTACTTCTTGTTTTGATGCAATTAGCAGACAGTTCCTGTAGACACTTTCAAAACTAATCTTCTAAACTATTAAATTTTAATTTGTATGTATTTGAGTTCGTTGTCGCCATGGAAACAACTGATTCCTTGTCTTTTGTCGAAAACTTCTTGATGAAATTAAGAATATATAACAACTTCCCTAAAACCAAAAAGACTTCAAAATATTTTTATCATATAAATAAATCAACTTACGACGAAATAAATATATGTTACCATACTGAGCACTGTAGAAACGAAATATTCTTTCATTTGCCGATCGGAATCTTTGAAAACAGTTTTCGTAAGCCTCGCATACGTTTGATAAATCCCAAAAGGAAGTAAACTAATCACGGAAAGAATTACATGAGTAAAAGTCATTCGTATCAATTGACGATCAACTTGTAATGCATTGAGACGTTTAATTTGACAAATATTTCGATAAGTTAACCATCCGAATAAAACCATAATCAATATCGGTATTGCACAAATTAGACCAAGTAGATAGAAGACGATATAAATATCATAACCAGCATTTGTATTCATACAAACCTTTGTTGGATATAAAATGTTATAAAATACAAAGATTGGAATACCGTGAACACACCAGAAAATGAGGGAAAGAATCACAATTCGATGAGCAAATTCTATTCGACTGAAATGACGAACACATACATTTTTCGACGTAATTAAAAATTGATCAATTGCCGCTAAACACGAAAGATTCATTGAGAATATTCCAGGTATAACAAGAAGAAATTGTCGAAATTTACACCAAATACTCAACGCAGCAATAATATCAATTCCATAACCAACATTTAAAATACGAAGAGTAATGTTAAGTAATATGTAGATCATGTTCGATATTGAACCAATGAGAAAATAAAATGTACAAGGAGTTTGACGATATGTACGAAATTTGGAAAAGATCAAAATATTAATTCCATTTCCAATTATACCGATAATTAGAAGAAAAAAACCAATATAAACTGTAAATTGTTGACTATCGTTGAGCAACGTCATCGTAAATACTTTTCAACAGAGTGTGACAACTACAGACGGTTTTATATCAGAAATACTACGAAGAATTTAATTATTAATCAATTACAAATCCGTCAGCGACAAGAGTATTTTTTTGACATAACAAGTATAAACAATATGAAGATGATAATTTTGTATTAGATACTCCGATAAACATATCAAAACAATTTACGAGTAGTTCAAGTCAAAGTCATCATATCTTTGATTCGAACATCTTTCCATTTCAATGAAAATGATTTAAAAACAAATAATTAAATCATCTTTATGTTGATATGCAGAAAATGTTGTTTAATAGAAATGATTGGTTTGTTTAATATAATTTACAAATGTTTGAGATTTGGATAAATTTTTGTTTCATCGTTTAATAAATTTTCTATTTGAAATAAAGTTAAAGTATGAAGACGTTGAATAACATAATTTGGAACGAGATTGATGTGATTCACAGTTAAAGTTCGAAGTCGAGTAAATCCTTGAAAATTGTCAGAAGAAAGATGAGAAAAAGTGTTTATGTAAAGTATATGAACATTTGGAAAACGAGATGAACGATATGTTGATCATCGGTCGATAACATCGACAGATAAAGACTTTCAAATGACCAAGGAACAGTGTAAAAATGTGCGAAAGAATTTGTTGATTCTAAACGAAGAATTGAAGTGTTTTTTTAAGAAAGATTTCAATTGTGATAAACAAACTTTGATATCGAGATGATTTTTTGTTTGAATTGAACAATTAAACTGTCGAAGTTTTGGTAAATATTGATCAAATAAGCATTTAATCTCATTACCTTTTAAATATGGGTCATCAGTATTAACTAATTCATCGATTTTTATTGTCAATTTTGTAAGTTGATTCAAAGGCATAATAATATAACATTTTCATTGGTTATTAAATGAAATTCAATTAACTGAAGCATCGATTGTTTCGGCCAAGATTCAGGTAGAAAAACTCGTCTATTTGTAATCGATTGACGTAAGTTGACATAGAGATATGTTAAATTTGGTACAAGACCATCAAGAAGAACAAAGAAATAGTTAATTGTCGAAGAAAATGATTGGAATAAAGTTGTTTATGAAGAACAATTCCATGATTTGTAATCAATTCAAGTTCAAGAAGAGTTTGAGGTGGAACTGAAAAGAACACATCATGAAAATGCTGATTGAATAAAACGAAAAGATTCTAAACATGAAAAATATTGTAAACATAAAGACAAAGTATACATTCGTTCGTGTTTTTCATCCAAAAACACCAAATGACGAACAGTAGCTTAGCTTGAATTTCGCAAAAGTGGCCAGTTTGTAACAAAATTCTGAATTTGATTGGGATTTCTCGTATTATTAATAATGATTTTCAACGGATTTAATTGTCGTTTATCAAGTAAATCACAAAAAGTTTTCATATTTTTCACTGAATAATTCGTTACATTAACAATTCGATAATACAAAGAAATACATGAAAAAGGTCCAAATATGCGCAAAAATTGAACAATACCTTTGTTGTCTTTATTCACCTTCGATTGAAGTCATGAGATATCTGATATAATTATGATACAATGAGAAAACGGTGTCATATTTTTGCAAGACTATCAATAGTGTGACAATTGTAGGTCATTTAACACGAGAAAGACTAAAAAGGTTTGAAAAACGAAAAACAACAGGAATATATTGATGGATAATAAGATTAATAGATACGAGAATGTCAATTTGATGGTATTTCAACACGTTTTCATTGTTTCCTTTTGATTAAGATACCGTTAAAGCTGAACTATCGATGTTCTGACGTTTAGCGAGATCAACAAGAGCTGTTTGATAAGCCTCATCCACATCTACATGAAATAAAGGATAACTTGTATCAAGTATTGGAACTAAGATTGAATTTGCATTCGCCATTGCGAAAGTTTGATTTATGTCATTTGAAGAACCGAACCCGTGTGCAAGAAGTGCACGTTTAATCCACGGATTTGCAATACCAACAAAATGCCAATTAACTTTTGAATTCGTATAATTATCCAATTGTTGACGAATATCAACGAGATGTTGTAAAGAAGTGATATCAACATGTGAAATTCCGGTAAAATCGAGGATAATCGCGTGTAGATGAGGGCGAGGATCGAGTAATTGATGTTGTCGTTGTGGATGTCGACTGGTTTGTAAATTCCAAGGTTGTTCACCAAGATTTTTATAAAGAAAACTCTTTCCACTTTTTGTCTTTCGGAAAACTTCTTCAACTAATTTTTCCATATAATTCGCAGCATTTGGATAAAGAAAATCTTCATAAATTCGATAGATAAATATCCCATCATTCATTTCCACTGGATCAATCATTGGATTCGTTCCATCCGAATGATTCATTGAAATATAAACATTTCTCTTCTCACGTTCAGAAACGAATTGAATTTGACCAAGAAATTTGCCTTCTGCATTGCCAAATCGATAAAGTAAAAGAAGCAGTGACGTTAAAATACAAACATAAATTCCATTTTCTATATTGGAGAATACCGTAACAAGAATTCCGATCCAAAATATGAGAAATTCCAGCGGATTGACTCGCCAAAACTGTTTCAATGTTTTCGGTCCAATGATTAAATCTCCAATAGCATGAATAATCACAGCAGCTAAACTTGCTTGTGAAATCCAAAAGAACACTGGTGTTAAAACATAAATTGCTAAGACAATAACAATTCCTGTGATTACACCTGCTAATGGTGTTCGAACTCCTGCTTTCGATTTGATTGCCGTACGAGAAAACGAACCTGTTGCGGGGTAAGCACCGAAAAACGAACCGAGAACATTCGTTACTCCAATAGCGATCAATTCTTGATTCGGATCTATCGCATAATTGTTTATTCGACCAAAGGCTTTTGCAATGGCAATATGTTCGATAACGAGAACAATGATCGCCGAGGGTAAATATGTTACTAATTCAGACAACATCGTTCGATCAATTGTGGGCACGGCCATATTTTGAAAACCTTGAGGAATCGTGCCGAGAATTGCAGTGTGAGGATGAGTTGGATCGTGTCGATTGATTAACCACGAAATGAATAGATAGATTAAGATAATAAAAACTGTGCGAAGTGTATTGAGAAAGAAGAAGAGTTTTTCGCGACGTGGATAACGTCGAATGGCATAAGTACAGAAAAGTCGAATGGAATAGAGAAGAACTAATGCTGATAAACCCAAAATGGCATTGTAATTACAAAATCGAATATTTTTCCAAAAATTAATAAAAACCAGAAACGGTGATTGACGTGTATCGAACGATTTATTATTTCCCATCAACACAGGAACCTGGCCCACAATGATATTCAACGCCGATCCTGTTGTAAATGCCGCTAATGCCGGCAATGGAATGAAATTCACAACAAAACCAAGACGAAACATTCCCAACGCACAAACAGCACAACCAACAACAACAGCAAGTGCAGATGCAATGACATGATAATCATATTCAGGATAAAGCTTATGAATATCATCAACGATAGTTCCAGTCAAGATCGACATCACTGCAACAGGTCCAATAGTGATATCCTACATTCACATGATATTCTCTTGATATTTTTCTCTTTGTTTGGTAAAGATATTTACTTTACTTGTTGCAAAAAACCAATAGATTATCACACCGACAAATGAGCTGTATAGACCAAACTGTGGAGCTAATTTAGCTAGACCTGCATACGCCATACCTTGAGGAATGACAACAGCAGCTACGGTAAGACCAGCTATGATATCATTGGAAAACCAAACGAGATTATAACGATAAATCCATGTTATGAATGGAAATAACGAAAGAAAATAACTTCTTATCCGTTCTTTTGGATTTGTCAATTTGTTCCTTATCCAACCAGTAACTGACGGAAGTTCTTCATGATATACAGTCTCATGATTCATCGCTAGTCGAATAGTTTCAATCTAAAGAGACAGTTATGTGATAATGGATTCAATTTATTCACCTGTTATCTTAAACGACACAAGATAAATATAGAACCTCGATTATAGCGAACTTCACGAACAGTTTCACGTAGATGAGATGTTTATTGACTTAATGCTCTGAAAGAGGCAAGTTTTGCACTCATCCTTCAAACAAAATGTAAGTTATGCGGACATTCATATTAGAAAGACAAGATCAATTAACACGAAGAAACAATCGGGGTCATATGTGATATCCCTATAAAAGAGAAGAAGAGGACAAGTTGAGATGTGACCTCGATTGAACTCGTATTGGTTATATTGAATTTATTCTGGTTTGTTTTAACAAATTAAAGCAAAAAAAAAAGCACAAGATGAAGAAGTTTATTCCTGAGGTAATGCTTGACGATCATTGGTTGTCTGTGGAGTAAATAACGAGTAAAATGCGCTCATTCGATTATACTGTGTAACAACATTGAATAATTCGTCATTAATAGCATTTCGTTGAATTCGATTTAGTGTAAAACCTGATATTTTCGAAAATTGATTCGAATAAGTGAAAATTTTGTTGAGAGACGATTGACTCGATTGCAACGCTTTCTGTTGATCATCAATAGCTTTTTGATATTGTTCCATGGCTGTTTTCCATTTGATTCGATTGGTTTCCAATACATTTAATTCCTTTTGATATCTCGACGCTCCTTGATAATTCAAATAATTGTGCATAGCTACGTATCCGAGTCCAACAGTTCCCGCAGTCAAAGCAACAGGAGCGGCGACAGCTGTTGCAGTCACTGAAACGATCGCAAGTCCAGTTTTCAGTGCTAACGCTCCTGTCACAGCTCCACCAACTGTTCCTCCGATTCCATATAGCATCGCTCTGAGTTGATCGGAAACCGTTTCCTCCTTTAACGTTTCGATTGATTTTTTAAGTCCATTGTATTCGTCATTATCAAGTATTTCGATCATATGCTGAATTTCAATTTGGACTTTATACGTATTCCCATCAATATCTAAGAGTGTATCCTGATGACTTCGAATGAGTTGACTAATTTCGATGAGGCGATCACTTTGGACAAGAGCGCGTATAGATTGAGTTTGTTCTTTAAGAATCGGTAAGACTTTCTGTTGATGTGTGACCAATACTTGAAGATTTCGTTGAAATTCTTCATATTTTTGTGTTCCTTTATCCAACGCGACGAGTAAATCATGGGCTTCGTTCAATCGACCAGCTCTTTCCGCTGCTCGTTGGATATTTCCACGTGCTTGACGATATGTTGATATAACCGCAGTGTTTTGCGAATACAAATCTCCCAATTCGGCACTTGCTTGTCGAACTGCAGTGGCCAGATTATGTACCAATTGATTAACATCCTTCTGTACTGTTTTATCTTGATACATTTCAGTATGTTTTCTCAATTCTAAAATCAAATCGATTTGTTTCGAAGTTTCCGAATGTAAATAGTCTCTCGACGTGGTCATTTTCTCTAACATATCAATCGCTGCCGGATACCAATTTCGACGACTTGGTTTTGGAAATGAAATCATATCTGAGCCGAATCCTGAAATACTAATAACTATCGCAAAGCCTGCCATAATTATACTCATATATCGTCCGTATCGGAAACTTAGTTTGAACAACAAATATGAAAGTCCAATGGTGACCATCCATGAGATGAGAAACTTGATGATTCCATCTTTCCAACTATCGTAATAGAAGATTTTCTTGCTTTTCAGCATAACTTCTAACGGCGCATCTGTTATGTAAAACTTCGCTTGAAAGTCTGTAAATACTTGATGCCATTTTTCAGTAATTTGAGTAACGAGAGAATAATTTCCTTCCATCAAACAAGACATAACTAAATGGCCGTTTTCCAAACCTTTCTTCAACATATTCGACAATTCGTTACAATCATAGACTTGATTTTCAACAAACGAAGTATATTGTTCAGCCATTTTTTCCATTTGAACTAATGTCACTTCCATCGTTTGGATATCTGGACAATGAATATGTGCATCGTTCATCAAGGTCTTCATTGTTTTAGCTTCGACAAGCATTGCGTCCTTGAGATAAAAACATAAAGAATCTGTAGCATTTTGAAGTGCCAAAATTTGGTTGTTGAATGAATTGTTTGCATCAGCAGTTGTAAATGAACGACTGAAATAAGTTAATATCAGTGGAATGAAGATGAAGTAATGAAATTTAGTCATGACTAGCACGGAAGATCAATCGTGGACGATATGACAAAGCGATATTGAAACCTTTGTCAACATGGAAAAAACAAGAGCAGTGACTCATCACAACACGTCACTGGGAATTTATCCTGTCACTGCGAAGCCAAAACCAACTAAGTACATTTTAACATAAATGAGAAAAATTCATAATTTTATTGAAGAATAAAGTATGTAAATCTACATATTGAATGTGACAAATAGTTTGGATTTATTGATTACAAGCAAATTGTTGAAGTCGATTTCGTTTATTTTTTCCATTATCTTCACTTTCATCGACTTTGCGTTTACCATTGGTTGAATTCATTTCTTCATTTTCCGTTGTTGATTCTATATGAATTTCACTCTAAATAAAACATCGAATACATTTTTTCTAATTTTCAAATACAAAATTAACCTGAGTCGTTGTTTTGGTCGTTGCAACAAGACGAGATTTATTAATCGACGGTTTCCATTGGCTAAACTCATCATTCGTTGGTGTTGTTGTGTCATTGACCACGGCTTTCTTTCGAAATGGATTAGTAAATGGACCCGATGGTAGTGCCGCTTTCGTCCGAGTTGATTTCACTTCTTCAAATGATGAAGAAATCGTGATTGAAGACGAAAGAAGAGGAAGTGGCGGTGGTGGTGACGAAGATCGTTGGATTTCCTTTTGTTTTTCTTCTTGTTCCTTCTTTTGCTCGATTAATTCATCAGTTATCTTCTGTGCTAAAGTGATTTTTCCTGATTTTGTCGCGTATTTGACCGCTAATTGAAGAGCGATTGAGTCCATTAGTTGACAAATTTCAAAAGCGCGATATTCACGATTCGATTTACATGATAACTAAACGAAAAATATTGTTTCGAAGTTGAATTGTCGTGAGAAAACGTACCGCGAACATTTTGATCAAACATTGCCGTTCATTGTTGCAAAAATCATCCTCATCGGTCGAATGAGTGAATAATTTCATTTTGAGATAGTCACTCTAAATGGATCGGATCGTTTTTCGAAAGAAGAATGCGAATAACGAACTTCAAGTTGACTTTTTTCCGTATCAATTTGATAAAGAGCCAAAGGAAGTGAAATTATTGAGACGAGTGGCCAAGGAACAAGGTCGGGAAACGATTGACCACGAAGTTCAATGACGCGTACTTGGAATTTTCCGTCAAAATCACTGATTCCCAATAACCAATAATTCGTCGTGTTCTTTTCCGCCTAAAATAAGAAAAACTTCTTGGAATCGCAATAAAAGAAAGCAACGAACTTCTTGTTTGAGGTTGGAGATCAATAAAGGTTCGAGTTGATTTCCTTTGTTGTGTCTCAGCATACTCAAATGACCAGATTTTTCCAAATAATAACATTTTCCACTATCGGAAAATCTAAACAGAAAACGATAAAAGAATATTTCAAAAGAAAATGCGAACAAACCCCATCCAAGACAATTTTGTTTTCGGTGTTAAAGGTAATGAACCAGTTGAATAATGATCATTGTCTATATCTAATAACACATACGACATTGCTTGTTCTTTCGGAAGTCCTTGGGTCGAATGGTGAATAATCCATAAATGATTTTGATATGAAGACATCGAGACTATTGGTCCTCGAAGACGAATAATTCGCTGTTGAATTCCCGATAAACTCATCAAACGAATGAATCGTTGCGATGTGGCCACAGCAAGAAAATCTCCACCCAAAGTCACTAATTCGATCTTTTCGTTATTTTCCGTATTCATCGTCCATTCTTTCATATTGGAATCCCATGATTGATATAAAATACAACATAATTTTCCTGTTTGTGATGAACCAAGTGCAATTGCTGATAGAGACAAATCGCCAACAGAATATTTATCTGTTTTGTTATCGATTGTGATCGAATGATGATATGAAACATCGTGAAACGAGATTTGAATTTGTTCGCTGTAACAAGTGATCGCACCGATGTTGTTCCAAAGTAGAAATCGACTTTCGAGATATTTCGATGTGGATGTCGATTGAAACGACTCTTGTAATTCGATCGGTTTTGTTTCGGTTAACATTGATGAGGCACGTTCGAACCATTTAGGAATGACTTCTTTATCGTCAGTTGCCATTTCCACATCATTGGAATTCGATTCCAATTCATCCACGACTTCTTCCTCATCCTCTTCTTCCTCTTCTACGCCGAGATCAAGTTTATCCGAGGGTGTCGAAGTTGGTTTAGAAAGATATTCCGACACATCAACATGCGCATATTCACCCTAAATAGATAATCATTTCGATATGAAAGAAACAACCTGAGAACTTACCGCCATTGTTGAACAAGTAAATCGAGTTGATTCGATGGGATTCCATGCCAATGAACAGACTGCGTCTTTCGATGAATAACTTTGAAAAGAAAAAGAAGAGATGAATTCGTAGAGAGATGAAGTTTTACTTCATGTAGATATCGAATGTTGAACGATTGATGATCGCTAATTGACCATTGACGTATGCAACAATGAATAAGGTTCCACAGGGTGAATAACGAATTAAATTGATCGCCTTCAACGAAAAAGATATTCGAGATTTGTTTTATTTGAAGAAAAACAAACTTCATCGATGGAATCATTTTCATAAGTTTTCTTTCTTGTCCATTTCTCTGTTTCAAAGAATTGAATTGTATTTTTCACTGGAATTGCCAACATCTAAAACTCTTCTATAATCAAACTGTTTCTCACAAAATTCTTTGTTTTACCTGATCTTTTTTGTCCCAATCAAGTTTGACCAACGAAGCAGCCGTTCTAAATTAACATTCCTTCGAAACTTTTGTATCTCTGCTAAGAAACTGACTCGATATCATTGGATTTTTGAATAAGATTTAATTGTTTGATTAAATTTTGTTTATCAATGTTAAATATTCGAATGGAACCATCACAACACGATGTTGCCTTTACAAAACAAAGTTTTCTTCAAGAAAAAAGAAACCCGAAAAATTCTCCTTCTCTCACCAGCCATCGTTTGTCTTCATAAACATTCAACGATAGAATCGGTGCTTGATGACCATCAAAGTGTTTCATTTTATTCGAATCGTCATTCAAATTCATCATCACACATTTGAAATCTCTTGTTCCGATGAATAATAACGAATTTGATAAACAAAGTGCTGAAACAGGTTGAGTAAAATGAACAAGACTGGGTAACGAATCACCGTGTGGAAATGATCGAACTTCAAGTTCATTTCGATTTGTTCCAACAAAGACATGATATTCCTTCGAACGAAAAATAATTGTCATACGTTAATGAAAATGATCAACTTACATGAACAGCTAAACAATGACATTGATCAGCACATCGAATGTGTTCAACTTGATCAGATTTTGTTTCGAAAACATGAATATCACCATCTTGACCACAAGTTAAGAAATGACTTCAAACAAAATTCATGATACTTTCGAATGATTTTTAATGCAAACGAACCTTCCGTCTTTCGTATAACAAATATCCGTGAGACCAGCGATCGAATGAGCAGAGACAACAGATAACATTTTAGATAAAGAAATGAATTATGGAGATTAGAAAAGAAGTTTATTGTTCAAGAGACATCTATCGATTTAACAAAGGAACATGTGCTTTTATTCCTCTTCTAAATATTCGTTCATTCATTCTTTCGTTTCGTTCTTCACATGTGTTTACGAATATCATATGTTACGTATGGAGACGCGCTTTGTGCCATGGAGAAAGATGAAATGGTTTTTGATAATGATCAATTGATTTTGCATAGCGATACATTTTATGACGTATTCAACCTATATTTACGTGAGGTGTAGCGAAATCAGGATGACTTCGAGGGAAAATCTTTAGTTGAATTTCAAGTGAATTTTGATAATAAGATAGTGAGTCTTCTTCGCTCTTGAAATGGATTACGCCAATGATGTTGTGCATATCCACTGAACTAAGATTAAGTGGGATAGAAACCAAGTGCTTTTGGAAATCTGCTCATCTTGGTAGACAACAAAATAAGATGATTGCGGGAAAAGAAGTTTCTGATCAATCTCAAGTTATCCTTTATCATATTGAAGTGTTTCCAAATTTTCGTACACATCGAATCCATATGTTGTTGAAAGAGATTGCTAGATGAGATTCAAGTGATTTTTCAAACGGTGACAATGTTTCGGATTATAATTCGTTGAAAATGCCCAATACGGCAGCTTGAGTGCATAGAAACGAAAACTTGGTCTTCGTTATTATATTCACGAAAGAAGTCGAACACGTCGACAGATTAGTTTTGATTTTGAGAAAATACACGAATAAGATCTGGATCGTCTGTATGTTACTTTGGCAAAGGCACGAGAAACACGTCTATTGCGACTTGTGGATAAGAAACTATTATTACTAGAGTAAAAATATATAAAATACATTGTTTTTGCCGCGGCAGAACCCCAGGACGATCGTTCCAGCGACTGGATCCAGTAAACTCCTTGCCGCCAGATTCCGCTCAACTCTTCACCGTTTCTAACTGAAAGTTTGCAGAAAACAACGGTTAGTTGCCATGCGAAAGCTGAACAAAGAGAAACGACGAAAAAGGACCTATGACTTATGTATTATGTCCTCGATGAATAGAGAGAAAAGGAGAAAATGTAAAAACGGAAAGAGTGCAGGTTTGTGTATAGTAGTGGAATGTCTTGTGAAGAATCAAAATCTATTTAATCTGTACGTGCACCACTAGTCAGCATGGTAGATAAGAGCGAAGCAGTATTTTGAAAACTTTTCAAAGGACTGTTACTTGTCTTTCAGAATCTAAGCAGACATATTTCCACATACGTTGAATCAGTTTTTTCGTTATATACAACCTCTTCGTGCCAAGGACACTGGTAAAGAAATAACACATCAACAACATATTGCAATCACTTTCGTGTAGTTCTTGAAAGATTCGAAATTTTTCATTGATATGATGATTGTACGCAAAATGATCAATGCAGTCCTCCCAAATAGTGCGTTTTTCGTTTTTATGAATTTTCGAAAAAAATGTTTTTTTTTGACCTTCGACCCTGACACAAACACACATACAAACTACTTTTTTCGTACGACCGTCCTTTCAGTCGAAGGAAAAATAACTATAAGAAAAATCAAATTTGATTTATGAATATGAGCTATGTAACAAATCGTTCCTAATAATCATTAAATGAGGTCTAATTGATCGAAGGGTAAGGATAAACTAATCACTGACAGTCACTCAAATTCCATTGCTTCTTTATATACCGAGAAACGATTCTTTAGTGCGTATTATTAGTGCTTTCATTAAGCATGATGTTCACATATTTACAGTTATAGAAAATCATTCACTCGATATTTTATCTAACTTTTATTATTCGAATAAATATTTCATATTATTTATATTTAATAATTATCTGAATTCTTACAAACAACTTCTTTTAAATTTCTCTTATTTAGAAAAGTTTCATCATTCATGAGACATCCGTATGTACATATAAAAAATATTCACACACATGTTCTATCTTTTCTTCATTGATTTTGATTTACATTTTGATAATTATTATCGGATCTGTTTCACTATTCATTGATCTGCTTCAAAATACGTTCAATGCTATTTTTAAGAAAAATAATACGAGGATGCGTTGGAAGTACCGTATCAGAATCCATAGTGATTGCTTCTTCAAAATAAGATAATGCTTGCTTCAATTCCCCTTTCTTTTCATAGATGAGACCAATGCTACTAAGCGACTCTGCGATATAAGAATGACCAGATGGATAAATTCGTCGAAAGATTTCAATTGATAGATTGTAATGATCTAGTGCGAGGTCATACTGATCAAGATTTCGATATACGTCGCCGATATTGTTGTGTGAGAAGCCTAATGTACGATGATTAGTCGAGAAACACTTTTCGAAAATAACCAATGCTTTCTGATGGTACTTAAGTGCTTCTGTATATTTCTTCTCAATTTCATACACAACACCAATGTTATTGAAACATTCTCCTATTGACGGATGATTTTCACCGAATATCTGCTTTATAATGTTGAATGCTTTATTGCATGATTCTAGTGCCAGTTTATACTCATTTTTACGACTGTAGATGCCACCCATATTGAGGTAACTATCTACAAGACGAGGATCATTTGGACCGAGTGTCCGTATCTTGGTTTCAAGCGATTCGTGATGCCATCTAAGACCAGAATCATAATCGCCTTGCTCATTAGCCACTTTACCAAGACCGTAGTAACAATCGGCAATATATTCATGATCATAAGATAATTCATTAAGTAAACGATGATAATACCTTTTAGCTTCACAGAATTTACCCATTGTCCGTAGTACACTACCAAATGACAGAAGATTCGTCATTCCTTTGTTATTTTTCTCACTCTCTTCTCTGATGTTTTCAATAATAGTTTGAACGCTAGAATCATTATTACTACATAATGTTAAACGAACATTATATACCTGATTTTCATCATAATAAATATCGATAAGTCGAAAGATGGATCCCAACATTATAAGAACTTCCTCTTCGGAAGGAAAATAACTATGTGGCATAATATTGGCAAATGGTATATTATCCACAAGCAGAGGATCGGCATCAATGTCTAACAAAACTTTTTGTAAATCATCTGTCGGAATAAAATCTGATAGATAAAAGAGTGCTACGTCACGATTAGTACTGGCAGAAAGAAATGAATTCATTGAGACTAATTGTCCAATAGAATTTTTCAATATTTGTAATTCTTCATTCGACATCAATTGTCCTCGATAAATATGCATTGATGATAAACATTGATATTGTACTAATTGTTGTCGAATATCAAGAATAAAAAATCGAAACAGAAAAAGTAAATCAATATTTTGCACACGAAGGGCTTTGTTTAAAAGTCTAAATAGAAATGATTCTCTTGTATACCACCAAATAGCGTTATCAGGCGAATAATTATGTTCAAACTCATTTAAAATATTCAATTGAGATACATTCCCATCATAATATTTTTTGCACACATCAATCAATTCTTTTTTATCATTTGGATTCGATTCCATTCGCAGTAGACAATCAATAAGCAGATGTGAATAAACGAATTGACCATTAAGTCCAGTAGTCGATAGATCTTGACAACTGTTCATTTTGAAAATATTTATTTGAAATGGTTCGTCAACTTTATTACGAATACTTCTCATTTGATTAGATTCAATTTCATTCACAAATGTGTCGAATTGTGTACCGACATTTTTTACCTAAAATAGAAAATAAGAGATTTTTTAAACTCAAATCAAGAATTATCATTGCTTCATGAGATTTCGTTTACCTTAGGAAATGTTTTAGTCCATTGTTGGTTTCTTTCTTCACATGTACAATATATATAAATCGAAAAAACTTGTCTCAGTTGATGAATTCGAGGCACTACTAGTAATTCTTCACCTGATTGATCATTTATGATTAAAATAATTCGATTATCTTTCGATATCGATCGAATATAATTTTCACATTCATCACTATCTTGAAATATCTTTAAACAGTTGATCGATGCTCGGAGACGCTGTTGAATATCAATATACTTCTTCTTTTCATTCAATGATGTTTCGAGCCATATAAGAGAAAATGTCTCCAGATTATTATTTTGCGGTGAAATATAACTGAAAGTTTCTTCCATGAGGACGTTTCTTGAATAATAACTACTTATAAGTAACAGTACTTATGTTGTTTGTCGAAAGACATTTTGTCGACGCAGCGCATAGAAATATTTTCTCGTCATATGGTGCATCTACTTTCTATATGAAAACTCGCAAGGTGTCTCTTTCAGAGATGGCCACGGTTCGAGTTTTTCAAAACTTTAACCGAACCGTAATCAGAAAAGTGCTGAAATCAATTATTGATAGCTAACCTATATAATCTCTGTCTAACCTAAATTATTTTGTTCGAAATTATTGTTACCTGTTATATTCAGATATATGTTACACTTGAATATGAAGCTCAATTGCTTTTAAAAGTCAACTGGTGGTCTGTCCGAACGTGACGGAATCACGTTTTCTCCTCGTGTACGTACTGTGCTTCCGCAATATGAAGACCTAAAGACCTGAGTCTTATATACCTAGCATCAGGCTAGTTCCTCTACAGAATGCAGAAAATTTCATTAAATTCACTCAATTTATTCCTACTTTTACCAGCAGAAATATATGTTGTGACGAAATCACACAAAACAGCAAGTTACATTTAGTTGATCGCACAAAAATCTCAAACTCGATTCAGTAGTCGCGATTATAAAAAACGAACCGTAGCAATTCGGTAACTTTAATGGCGGAGTATATAGTAGAAAGAAATTGCAAACAATAATTGTATCTGGCTTTCAGCCGCCAAAATATTGGTCGTGACTGAAGCATGTTTTCAAAAATGTTCGTGTTTTTCTTGAAAATTTCTTCTTCGAAAACTTAACTATAGTTTTATTGAATCTATGATGCCTATAAAGTACTCACAGATATCTCTGAAGAAAAATTATTTTACTTCGTCTTCGTAATATCTTAAGAATTACAGAATGAGACCATAACTTTAGCAGTTTTCGAAATTAGGCTCCAGAGATCAACTTTTAGGTGGACAGGCCGCTGATTGACTATCGAACCTAAAAGATAACCGATTTATTTTACTTCGCTTTGTAGTTTGAAAGGCAATTGAAGGTTCGAGCTAAGATCGACATCTGCTGCGCGAGAATTAAGGCAAAAATATTAGAGAACATGTATGAGAATACAGAAAAGCAAATAAGAAATAAATAACATTTCTGAGAAAAAGCTAAACGATTTCTACTTGGTTCAAACTTTGGAAAATAGTTTCTAGCTAACATATCGCTTCTTCGTGCTAGCTTCACACTGGTGCATGGTGATTTGAATTTCAAGTACTTGATTCTTTCGTCATACATACAGAGACAATAAGAGAAAAGTAAATTTTGTCCTGAATACGAAGAAACAAAAAGGACAATAAATTTTTCTTTCGACGAAATATTTTTCTGGAAGCAAAATTCGACAAAATGGCCAGTCAACTAATTGTACTGTGGACGAAGTGCTTCTCGATAAAAAATACTTTCGAGAAAAAACCTTTCTACAACAATCTGTCAACGAAATATCGTTCGACCAGCAACATAGTATTCGCAGAATATTGTGTTGTTGCGCTCTGCAGCACTCATCAATTGAGAATATCTAACCGAATATCAGAGCTTATTTGTACAGACCTGATCCGCTTATTTGGGTACTTTCTTCTTCTCTGTTTTTTCTGTCCTTATCAACCACCAATGAATAGCTTGATTACTAGATAGGTGGCCTTTGTTCGTTTGTTGGATTTTTCCCACTGCAAGTCAATATTTTTCTTTCTCAAACACTGTGAGACGTGACTTTTGTGAAAACGAATTCCCATCGGCAAAACCCAGCCTATTCGACACAGAATTTGATTCTGAGTTGCATGGTAATATTTTTATTCATGGGAAAACTGTCATAGACTTTGTCCATGATTCTTCTACCCCTCAACATATTTCACTTCCCTTCCATCCCACATCTGCTCTTGTCGTACATTTACATACGCATTTTTCATGAGAGGGTGGATTCTCCTCCTCAATAACGGATCATTACAAAAACGAATGGGAAATTTTCCTCCGAATTTTGCTTTTATAGAACTACGTATAGAGGAAATATAAGAGTCGAGGCTAGCTCCGTCCCGATAGTTTTCTTCAATAGAAATCAACTGCTTTCTAATATCTTCTCATCGTAGTATATTCAAGTTCAAGTGTTTGGAAATACTGATTCATATCGAACATATGCTGTTGAAAGATATTGCCAAATAAGTTTCAAACGATTTTTCGAGCATTAACAATGCTTCAAGACAAGAACAAGTACTTGTAGTATGATGGATCAGTTACTTGAATTAATTTGTGTCATAGATGGAACCGGTCTAAATTTTCAACGACCGGTACCGGTACCGGTCTGAAAAAGTTAGACCGGACCGGACCGGCCGGTCTACCGGTTTTATCCGCCTACCGGTTTCTTACCGGTCTACCGGTCTACTGGTAGAAAAATCTTCGTTAAACTCACGATGAACACATATTTTGAACATTTTACTACAGCCCAGCCTGCCAAGGCTGTCTCTGAATCCTTAGTATACGCAATAAGGCGAAGATCGGACCATGATGCTGTNGGAGGCGCAATAAGGCGAAGCTCGGACCATGATGCTGTATGATAAAAGTCGGAAAATGAAAAATTTAGACCAGTAGGCCGGTAAAAAAACCGGTAGACCGGCTGACCGGTAAAAACCGGTAGACATACCGGTCTAAACTCTAGACCGGTACCGGACCGGACCAGACCGGCCGGTTGCCGGTACCGGTTCCATCTATGATTTGTGTATAAATTTCCAATACGGAAAATTCAATGCATAGAAAAGAAAATTTCTCTTTCGTTATTGTATTTACTATCACTGTCAATATTTACGAAAGAAGCCGAACATGTCGATAGATCAATTTTATTTTCGTCAAAATCTGGATTAGTGCTTGTGATTAAATAATCATCAACATAATTGTAGACAATATGAAGATATTCGAGCCGACGAGTGATGAGCACACGATTGTTCAGATTAACAATATTGCGAAAAACAAATTCAGCCACGACAGATATAAATTCGAATTGATACAGAAATACAGTGAAACCTCCCATAATGAACGCTTTTCATACGGTCCCGTAGGTGTTCATTTTACGGAGGAGGTTTCACTGCGCTTGAAAAGATAGGGCGAGGATCTGAATCCAATGAGACTCAAATTGATGATCAAAAACAGATCGTTTGTCTTATTGTGATCTTGGAAACAATCGACAAATATTTTCTTCGCATTCGACACGAACAAGTGAGTCAACCACAGCGAAGACAAACAACTGTTTGTTTTTTACAGCAAAATTTATTGAACTTTGATTGTTATAATCAGGAATTCGAGCTCTCCACATGTCAATGTTGCTGTTATTGTTGTATTCTCGACTTTATATTCATGTCGTTTCTACGAAAGAGAAGTCTGAAGAGATTGTCCTCTGTATTTTACACTTGTACTATCTGTTTGATTTCGAATACATCCCTAGATGATCATACGACGAAAACGTCACATCAATTTCCTACTCACTCGAATGGATCATTTCACCGAGTCGATCTCTCGACGTGTTAAATAGAGATGTGTCGGACAAGTTCGACAAATGAGAACATTTCTCGTGGATTATATTGTCAATCATAATTCTCTGTCCTGTTGACTTTTTGACAACGAATTTCTCTTCTCGGATCATCGTACACTAATGTCTCCTGTGAAAAAACAATGTTTGATTGACATGTTGAAACTGTTAATATCTGGACATACGTGTTGGCCACTGCCTTACTCCGATGGATTATAGAATAAAAATAGAACGATACAGAGAAGATTCGCACGGTCCTTGCGTATGGATGACATGCAAAATCGTGAAGCGTTTCGCATTTACTCACCATTGAATCCTTTCTTCTCTACTACTATTGATTTTCCCTAGTGATCGACAATGAAAGTACGTCTTGAACAAGAACGAAAAACCAAAATAATTGTTGATGTATTTTTGTTCGCTGTCATTATAGTTGCTTGTTTTTTGCATCCAACATTCTTTTCTCATACGTTCTATTGTCATTTACTCAACATATGGAAATTTGTATTTTTCCAGCAAGTGAAAACACGCGTTTGAATTTGAAGTCCTTTACAGGTTATAATTATCAACTCCATGATAGACTTACTAGCAAAATAGATTGTTAATCGAGAAATAGTTGCTTGTCAAGTGTGTGTATTTTTATTGTGATATTTCTGTGGGATAGATTTGCTTTATCCTCATCATCATCAGATTCTCAACGTTCTCCACTTTGTAAGATTCGTTTGTCAAACGAAAGCACAAACCATTAAACGAATGAATTTCTCACTGAACTCTCTCCTCAGTGTTACTTCTTGCATTTGTCGTGTTTACTTTTCATTCGAACCTGCCTTTCGAAATTTCAGTAACTTAGATCGAAATACACTCTTGCCAGATAAACTAGACCGCTAGTTTGGACTCAACTATTTCCAAGAAAAATCTATATACTAATGTTCAGTGTCTGTTACCTGGTCAAAGGTCACGGAACAGGAACATTCGCTTCATTGAAAAAGAACCGTGCAGTATGCACGGGTCTCTGTTAGTAATGTATAAGAGACCGTAGAGAACTTCTACGCGGTACATTCCTTCCGATCATAAATACATGTAATCATTGGAAAGACAGCAAAAGATCGTGTAATGTCGAAGAAAAATATAGCTACAGACTATAGCATTAAACTATACGCAAAACGAACGAAGAAATTCGAACGTCCTATGGATAAACAACGTATGAATTGTCTAGCTGACTTAGTTGAAACCAATAACGAGGATAATACGAAGAAACGAATTTTTCTTTTTCTCCACTATTCGTGGACACGTGTATATTCTATGGAAAACAAGTGAATAACAAAGATATTATTTCGAATGCATGATGTCTAACTGCATGCCACGACAGACGAAACTACAGTACCATTCGTACATTTTTTGAACGATGTTGTGTACTGGATTGCGTGTACAAATGTGACTGAGATCTTTCTTTAAATGAATTACATATTCGATCGAAAATGGATTTTTGAACTATTTTTCTTTGTGCTTTTAGTTTCGATTCGTGTCAAACACGGACCATGCCGTCAACGATCAACGCATTCAATTGATTCGAAAAGAATTCGACATTGTTGTCAAAAACAGCGGCGTAATTAATCATCATAGTAAGCGGGTACATCTTAGTTTGTTCATATTCATGACGACTGAGACGAATTCTTTTTCTTTATCTAGTATCGTTGCTGAAAAGACTTGTCCAGGTTATTATGGCACGGTCGGTTCCGGTCGGAAGTTCAAACGTAGGTTCCAGTCATTTCCTACAAAATTTGAGCCGGAATCGAGAAGACCTGTACCGGATCCAGTCGCCGGAATGATCGACCTGAAGATCGAGATTTCTTCAATGATACTAATATGTTATGTAAGCAATTCAGTTCTATTTCGTTCAATCAAATAGAATTGTTCGTATGATTTTTAGCTGATATTCAGTTCAGTACTGATGACATCACATCAATCATTGATTGGTTGAGTGAGAAACGAGAAGAAGCTCATCCGAATGATCTCGTACTTGATGTTGTTTTTTCCTCTTCTCATAGAACTAGTCGACTTGAATGAATATGACAAAGACGTCGAGAACATGAGAGCTTTGTTCGTGTTCGTCTATGTCTTTCTTCTCTAACATTTCTTCAACGAAAAGGACGAACAAAAAGCAACAAGCATGCAGTTACGTAGCTAAGTATAAATACAGTGAAAAAATACATTGAAACTCAGTTGAGTGTTTATTGTCAAGAAAAACACTGAGAGAGAGATATATATATATAATGTCCGAAAAAGCAAATGTGAGTGTAAATCGAATATAAATATCGATATGATTCCAAGTCAAATGTGTGCTTTTATTGATTGTAGGACGAAGTTCAATTGGCAAACAATTTACTTGAGTTAGCAAAAGATGTCAAGGCTCTTGCTTGTGCCGGTGCGACGGTCGGACCCGAAATGCTCAAGGCGCTGCTCGTGCAGCATCATATACCGGATCATCTGTTAGAACGTGAACATGAGTGAAATGGTTGTTTTTCGGTATTTTTAAATAAAAAGAATGATAGAAAATACACATGTTGAACCATCGGCGGGCCGGCAAAAAAATTTCAGGGGGGGCAATAAAAATTTTTTCAGTGATTATTACCACAGATATTCGTTTTTTCTGAGACGAAAAAATTTATTGCCCTTTCAAAAATTTTTCAGGGGGGGCAATTGCCCCCCCCCCCCTCTGGCCCGCCAATGTGTTGAACAGATATGAGAAAGAAAAAAAAGGACTATCTGTCTTCGAAAGCGAACAGTTGTTTCTGAATACTCACGGTTGATACAAAATACAACATAGTATTGTTTGTGCTTAAGTATAGTGTGCAGTAGCTGAGAGAGATAAACTACCAACAGAGTATTTATCTGTTTTGTTTCACAACACTTTCAAATAAATCTCAAGCGGCAAACCCAAACCTTCCGTCTTTCGTATAACAAATATCCGTGAGACCAGCGATCGAATGAGTAGAGATAACATGTTGGAAAACGAAATGAATTGTCGACTAGATTATAGAAAAGAAGTTCATTGTACAAGAGACATCTATCGATCTAATAAAAAACACGCGTGCCTTTATTTCTCTTTTAACTATTCGTTCAACCTTCGTTTTCATATGCGCGAGCGAGATTTTTGCGAAGAGTAGCCAGATAAGGATGGTCTGGAGGAAGATTGTTGCTTTGACAAATTTCTAATGCTCTTTGGTAATACTGAATTGCTTCTGAATAATTACACATTTTATAATAAACCATACCGATATTATTGTACGATAAAGCAAAATCAAAGTAATCTGATGGAAAGATCTTTTGTTTAACTTGAAGCGATTTGTCATAGTAAATAAGTGCAATTTCTAGTTGATGATTTCGTTTTTTATAGACCATACCAATGTTGTTGTAAATACTCGCTAAATATGGGTCAGGTGAACGAGATTTTGTTTGATAGAAGTCAAGTGCCTTCGAATAATATAGAAGTGCTTTCGAATCTTCATCCAAACTGTCATATACAGAGGCGATGTTATTATAGAAAATGGCCAAATCTGGATTATTTTCACGTAAAATCTCTTCATAAATTTGCTGTGTTTTTTTATAATATCCTAGTGCTTCCCAATACTTTTTGTCGCTGTTGTATGCACTGGCGATGTTGTTATAACAAATAGCCAAATTATGATAATTTAAAGGAAGAATATCTTTGTAAATCTCGAGTGCTCTTAGGTAACACGAAATGGCTTCGAAATACTTACCGATGTGGTGGTATAAACTACCGATACAGTTGTAAGATGTTGCGATATCCGGATGATTTCTATCAAGAGTTTTTCCTCTGATTGCAAATGATTCTTGTAAATACGTTAGTGCTGTTGAATAATGACCTAATGTAGAATATACTGCAGCGATATTGTCGCAAAAAGTCGCTGTTTGAGGATGGTTCGGCGAAGTTTCTCGATAAATTTCCAATGCCTTTTCATAACAGAAAAGTGCTGCTGAATATTTGTTCATTTTAGCGTTGATTAAGCCCAAGTTATTATAAGAAATAGCCAAATCAGGGTGATTGAGAGGAAGAGATTTTTTGTTAATTAGAAATGATTTTAGAGCGTACTGAAGTGCTTGGAAATCTTCACCGATATTAAAAGAAGTCATACTCATGTTGTTGTAAGAAATCGCTAAATGAGGATGATTTGCAGGAAGATTTTGAAAGATTTCGAGCGACTTTTCGATCATTGGCAAGGCTTCACGATAATTACCAGTAGTATAATGAGCATGACCGATATTGTTGTACAATGCGCTTCGAACACGACTGTCCGGGGAAGATATCGTTTCATAGATTCAAGTGTTTTCTTCGAATATTCAAGTGCTTGAGAATATTGGCCCATGTCGTGATATACAGAAGTGACGTTGTTGTAACAGGCAACCAAAGTGATCTTATTTAATGAAGAATTCTTTTGATTTAGATCAAGTGACCGATCGTAATATAAAAGTGCTTCTTGTTGTTTCCCTTGAGCAGCTACAATCGAACCAAGTTGAAGATAAATATTCGCTTTTTCCTCATCGTCGACTGTTTGTTTCAACATAGTTTCGTATACTTGTAGAGCTTTATCGAATTGGCCCATCTTTATCAATAATTCACCCAGTCGATACCATCCTCTTTCGCTTGGAAATGTTTCTTCGCGTATATATTTGGTTAAAGCATTTAATTCAGGATCATTGTCTTCGGTCAATGTTAAATTCACTTCATAGGGCTGATTATCTCGCTTAATATCCGTAACACGGAAAATAGAGTGCATTGAGAAGAGAATTTCGTCTTCTTCTTCATGTTCACTACAACAGCGAATATTTGCGAAAGAAGCCGAAGAATTTGATAGATCGATTGCAATTTCAAAAAATATCCCAAAGAGATCTGGATTATCTGCATTACTCTCCGCGAACATATAAGAGACGCTGCGATCGGTACTTGTTGATAAGAAATTGTTAAAAGATATTAATCCACCTTTTATTAACTTGTCCAAATCCATCTGAGATAAGCCCTGCCCACGATAAACAACGAGTTGTGAACACTGTTGAGGTCGAGGATATTGTTGTAAATGAAGTGCAACTAGATTTTCATGAAGATCACGTATCAAAAATCCCATTTTGATGATGATATCTACTTCCATATTGCGCAGTGCTTTATTAACTTGTCCGAAGATAAAATCACTGGATGTGTACCACCATATTGCCTTATCTCGAGAATATTTACGTTTTTGAAATTTCTCCGCATCTGCTTTATGGCAACCTGCGAGAAATTCGTCTATATGTTCTCGTTCGAAATCGATTGTAAGTAAGATTTCTTTGAGTATTTGTGTATACATAAACGATTGATCGAGTTCGTTCAAACTTTTCGTTGAGAGTACATCATCTAATTCCACGAAACCGACGGAAGCCGTATTTTGATCATAAATTCGATTCATCTGCCTGAGTGAGTCACAAATCAATGTTATATTCGCGTAAATACCTTTTATTTTCGACCATTGCTTCACATCCATCTCGGAGAAATCCTCAACATTGCCAAGAACATAGATGAATTTCAATTGAACAAGATCGTGAATTAAAGGAATAATATCGGATGTACTCTCAATCGAAATAATTAGAAAAACGACCTCGCTTTCAAAATTAGTGATAAAATCTACGCAGTTATTCATATCATCGAATGTATTGACATTATGAACTACCTGTCGTAAGTTTGTGATAGAATTCTGGTGATCAGCATCGTTCGTTGCATCGATAATTTTGTGTAACCAGACGAAAGAATAGTTGTCCATAGCTTAGTTTATAGAAAATGTTTGCTTCAGATGGGGAAAAGAAATCCCTTTGTTGGAAAAAACTTGCATACCGAAAATATTTTTCCGTTCTATTTGACGCGTGAGATAATATGGCGGATCCCTTTCTCTAGTGAATATAGGTGGTCAAGAATTCGACAGAACGCAAGGAAATATCTTATGTCTCTATTAAAGTAGTTATTTTTCGAAACGTAATACTACAAAAGTATTATTTCTATTAATAAAAGCTAACGCAAAAAAGTGCATCGAAAAATGTACAATTTCTGCTTTACATGTTCTTCTCACAGTCATAGTCGTACGCTGCGTATGACGATAACACGGAAATTTTGACTTGCAAATTTTGCTCGAAACATGGAATCTGATTCTTACTTGCTAATCATGACATGATTCTACATCTAACAATAACGAACATCGCTTGTTTACAAACGCAATAGTATTCAATTGTTAATTCGTAGATTCACAATCTACTCTTTTTGAGAATTTTTTCATTTCCATTATTAACTTCTTGACTGGGCGTTGTTTTTCACTTTTTATTCTCATCAACGTTATGTTTCATTCCACAAAGCATCGTCGGATCATCGGATAAATAGAATTGCTCCTTGGTTATTGAACTCGTTTTCAACCAGCAAGTTCCACCATTCCAAGATTTCCATGCTTAATGTGTACATCTAGCGGTTTGAAGACATTGGTAGATGCATCCAGTACTTGAAGTGAACACGTTCTTGAAATCATGACCAACATGATCACATCCGTTTGTCCAATTATTATCACCAAAATCAACTTTCGGATGTTTAACCAAATGACCATATGAAGATAATAAACGCACGAGACAGTAGAGCGAGGTCGGACTCATAATGAATACACTGAGTGAACTTATTTTTCTCAATTTTAGTACGTTTATTTATATGGTCAATCGGTGTCTTTCGTTATCTTGTGAATGCCCTGTGCTCTCATTCGATAAACACAACACAGTTGAAGAAGTGGAAAATATGACCGTGATAATCATCGCTATGAAGTCATGTCATATGTTTCCCATCTCTCTCAACATGTTATCAGATAAAACATCGAGAAAAAATGAGCTGAACGGTTTCTTTTCTCGAAAAAGAAGATGTCTACAAACTTATTTCCTTGTCTCTTTGATTTTATTTTGAGAATTTATTTGATGGACATATTCAATCAGATTTTGCAATTAGAAATCAATTCATAACTGACGATTTAGTCTTTTGTTTACTCACGTATATGATGAACGTCAAAGTACAAAATATAACTCGTATTCCACTCGCACTGGATTGAGTGCCGATCTGTTGCTTTAACATTGAATAACATTTCAGAAATGAACCTTAGTCATTACAGATCCTGTAGTTATGTCGCTTATACTAACTTCACACAGGTACATAAATCTATTTCTAAACGGTGGTTGAACAGATAGAAAAAGTATTTTATCAAATGAATATTCAAGCGGAAAAATTTCAACATCGAATAAAAGCCATTTTGATAGTTTTCAGAGATCTCAATTCATTGTATCATTCACAAGTATTTTGGAGCGACGTAGGTCGCGTATATCATGCCAAGTCGAAATAAGTATCGAAGGATGGGAAAGTTAGAACGAATATTTGCTAGAAAGAAAGAATAAAAGACTGGTCAAAGCGATCTTCTGTCTAAAACAAATTTAGTCTATAGAGCAACTCAAAAGAGATAAAGTTGGTCGCCAATGTGAATGTATTACAGTTCGCGAACGATTGATTATTCGAGGTAGAAGATTACATCATGGTGCTCAGACATCCTCAAGATAACAAATTTCAGTGCCATTGATAACAACAGTTGGAATAAATAACAAATCGTGATCAGTATTCATCCACATATAATAAAATATTGCTGACGAAAACTTTCCAACGATCTGACATGTCATTGTCAAGATAAACATTATCAGATAAGAAGAAGAAACAATGACGAATGCAAAACTAGTTCATACAAATCTGTAAGTATATCATTTATTCTATATTGAGAACATTAAAAACAAAGAAAATGATAGTCAAAATTGTTTCACTTCTCTTATTCGTGCACAATGTTTATCTTATGGCAATTCCGACGCCACCAAATCCGAATCAATTCACAATAACAGCCGGAAAGCCCGATGGTTCACCACAGATCGAAGTAACCACGAATTATGTCGATCGTTTAGCTCAACTTTTTCGTATCGATGTTACAAATTATGGTATCATCACTGAACAGGCATTTTACTATGGAGAAAATCAAACGGGATATCTTCTTTACTATGATAAGCAACCAACTCGATGTCATAAAGTCAAAGAAAACTATGCAGACATGTTGGCTGATTGGCAAAAATTGCCGTATGCCGGAAAAACAAGTGCCGTTAGTGATCCGAAAATTGAATGTAATATGTGGAATGAAACTGACCAAAGTTGGACATGGAGTTATCTTGCTTCAATTAAAGATAATAGACCAATTGAAATTTTAGATAATAGTATTCTGATTTCAGTTTTTACGAATTATACAATTGGACCTGCGGTTGTACCAAAAAAGATTTTCCATTTACCCGTTCCGGAAAGTCGATGTGTACCAAAAGATTAAATTTTCATTTGTACTTTCTATTTTAATAAAAGAAAATTTGTGTCACAAAACATGTCTCTTTGCATTTTTTCATTGGATTCTTTGAAGATGCGTCATTACAGACTTTGCATTACATGGCGATTTTTATTATCAAATTTGATCAAAGTCAGTGATGATCGTGTGTGCTCGCATTACGTCCTGGAGAATCGTATGAAAATATATTTGATGTCAAGGTTCGGAGATAACAAAGCTAATACTTTATTATTGATTTTATAATGTCTACATGACGTGTGATGAGACGAAAAATACAACGTAAAGGGAAACCTTTCGATTTTCACATCGGATTTAAGATGAGATAAGCAGCGAAACTTACCGTGAAAGTGAACATATGACTCGCTCAATTTGAAAATAATCGAATTATGGATATTTTTATTCATATCAAGATTAGTTTTCCACAGCTCACTTTTCACTGATCAACCACATGAGAAAATTGTAAAGATGTAATCAAATTCAAAATAAATATCTTGACAAATATCTGATCTTCGTTTGGTTCTTCACCGAAACTTTATCTCATTTCGGCGAAAATCACTCGTCTTACACGATAATCATTGTTACCATCATTCAAATAATTCTGAGTAATGACTTACGCGTTGGGTATTTCGATTTATTATTCCGCGAGTACACATCACAAACAATGTAAAGAATGAATAAATATCATTCAGACACAATGGAATTAGTCATACAACACCGTCTGTTATTTTCACACGATAGAAGTTCACCCGCATCTGCCCAGGTTCCCATCATAAACATATATAAAGCACGTTGAGGATCTATGAAAACAAATCAACGTCGGTTATAAATTTCTGTGTATTTCGAAGAACAATAATGGAATTCAAATTTATACTTCTTCTTCTTATTGTTGGCTACGCTTCGAGCAATCCATTGACTCGCCCAGCTCCCGCTGAACTTGGCGACAACTACATCAATCCACTCACCCGTCCAGCTCCAGCTGAACACGAAGACAACTACATCAACCCACTCACTCGCCCAGCTCCAGCGGAACACGACGATCATTACATCAATCCACTCACCCGTCCAGCACCAGCTGAACACGAAGATAACTACATCAATCCATTGACTCGCCCAGCTCCAGCTGAACACGAAGACAACTACATCAATCCACTCACTCGTCCAGCTCCAGCTGAACACGAAGACAACTACATAAATCCACTCACCCGTCCAGCTCCAGCTGAACACGAAGACAACTACATCAATCCACTCACTCGCCCAGCTCCAGCTGAACACGAAGACAACTACATCAATCCACTCACTCGTCCAGCTCCAGCTGAACACGAAGACAACTACATCAATCCACTCACCCGTCCAGCTCCAGCTGAACACGAAGACAACTACATCAATCCACTCACCCGTCCAGCTCCAGCTGAACACGAAGACAACTACATCAATCCACTCACTCGCCCAGCTCCAGCTGAACACGACGATCATTACATCAATCCACTCACCCGTCCAGCACCAGCTGAACACGAAGATAACTACATCAATCCATTGACTCGCCCAGCTCCAGCTGAACACGAAGACAACTACATCAATCCACTCACCCGTCCAGCTCCAGCTGAACACGAAGACAACTACATCAATCCGCTCACCCGTCCAGCTCCAGCTGAACACGAAGACAACTACATCAATCCACTCACTCGCCCAGCTCCAGCGGAACACGACGATCATTACATCAACCCATTGACCCGTCCAGCTCCAGCGGAACACGATGATCACTACGTCAATCCACTCACTCGCCCAGCTTGGTAAATTATGAGAAAAGAAGAAAGGTTACAATTATAAAGATTTTTTCGGGCGACTATGAAGTTTTGCGTTTTTGTAGAAATGTCTTAGTTGTGTGAATAGGGTTTTCTGGGTTTGATGTTTTTAATTATGTTGTGGGTATTATTTCTTGTATCTTGGATCACAATAATAATCAAGGTGTCAGGAATTTTGTTTTTGTTGAGAAGCAGTTGTACTATAGTGTTTTTCTTGGCTAATTCTCTTATTTTCATGGAGAAGCAATCAAAAACTTGATTTTTCCATTTGGTTTAATCTTGAAAGTTTAATAAAGTATAACATGAATTATATCTACATCATATTTCTTCATAAACGAAAATCTGGAGAGAATTGTTATACTGTTAATGATTATAAGAGATGAATGAAAACAAAATATGAAAGCAGGTACATTTTTTAAATGTCACGTGGGTACGAAATAAAATTTGATTTCTTCTAAATATAGTTCGATAGTAAAGAAAAGATAAGACAGATTTTTATGAATCGTATTTAATACATTCACACATCGGGTAATAGGGAATGGTATAAATCAACATAGCACTTTTATATTAACTAAATTACAAGTGAAATTATTGTTGCAATAAATTTGTCAATTAGATAATCTTTTTTATTGTTTATCATCGTGTCGTGAATGAAGATTACCCACTGAAAACCCCTCTGTGCGTTCATCAAAATTCATTCCTTCTTGTCTAATAAGATATTTGACGAAAGCAATAATTCAGATCGGTGGATATTGGCAAAATAATGAATGACGAAAAGTGCGTTTGAGATAAATATATCACTGTGAAGGTAGCACGGCCTGATGTTTTAATGTACTTGAGATTCTAAACAGTATACTTTCTGATACATCTTTTTCTATATGAAAACACTATTTCATTAACTGTTTGAAAATAATTGCATTTGAACGATTTGTTCAATGCAGAAGATGAGAGTTACTCAACAGTCGACGAGATGATTTTCTGAAAAAAAGCCGTGAATTTTATTGTAACGCACCTAATTGATACAGAAAACGGTGTCATCAAAAATTTGTTTGTCAAACGATATTTTTCCTATACAAGAAATAACAACATGGGATGAGGAGAAAATGTTTTTCTGCCTCGTTCTCTGATTCCACGCTAAGTTCTGGTATGCGTCATATATGACGTATGTTTTTTCTTTACTTATCGCTCGGTACGTCTTGTCATGTGTGATTTTCGAAAGAAAATACCAATTCCCATAGGCTACGGTCGGGTGAGGGTTTATTCTTTCCCAATATAGTCCCATCTTTCCCCACTCATCTTCTATATAAATAGAGGTATTTACTACGAAGTTCACCTCACATCATAACTTTATCAGAAAATGTCAAATATTATGACAACATTTACGGAATTATTAGATGAATATCTTCAACATGATGATTCAGGTGAAGAAACAGCAAATTTCAACTGATCAACTCAATGGCAAATCTGTTGCGCTCTATTTTTTGTGATTTTGGAACGATCTTTATGTAGCATTTCATTACTTATCGCTATAAATATTTTGGTCGTTCTTCGTGTTCACTATGTGAAGAATTTACACCAGAATTGGTTCAACTTTATAAAGAAAATAAAGATGGATTGAAATACAAATTCGACATAGTTTTTGTCTCATGTGAAAGTGACCAAGAAAGATTTGATGAACTTTTTAAAAGTATGCCATGGAAAACCGTACCATTCGCAGGTAAAATAAATCTATATTTCTTCAATAAATGAAATTTCAATTTGGAAAATAAGATTACTTCCCAAAAGAAGAGTAGTGTAGAAATCGTTAATTCGATTTGAGTTTTAAAACTTTCGTTCGAATTCTAAATCTTTCAGTTTATAATTCGAGTACTCGAGTTTTAAACTTCTAAATCTACAATTCGAAGTTTCGAGTTTTCCGCTTACCAACTCGTAAATGATTGATCGTAAATCCTTGAGTGGCTAATTATTAACTATTATGTAATAGTTAATTAAAAATTTACCAACCGATTATTTATTATCAATCAACGGACTATCAAGTAATTGGCATCTGACTATTAAATACTACATAGTCATTTATTTACCATATGACTATCACTTATCAGCCAACCAACGGTAACGAATCCCGTTCACATTGATGCTGACTATGCCGTTGTAGGCCGCGCCCTCATCCATATTTATAAGATTCTGCATCGTTTGATCCTTTGAAGAATTCACATATTTTTATGTGCTACACACAACAATCATCAGAGAAAGTCATTCTGACAAAGATTTTTCTCTTTGCAAAAATATTTCATCGTATTACAAATTTGCCTTATTCATATCTGTCCCGTAAGCCCTTGAAACACACGAGTGATTCACGCATCCAAAAGTATCGCTCTGTGCAACTGCTTTTCTCCTTATTAAGTAAGAGAGGAAGCATCGAGACATTAAAGGAAAAGAATGCATGAATAATTCGTTAGTCAGAACGCGCAAATACAGCGCAGTTACACGTGTTACTTTCATAATAGTGTAGCAATCGACAGCACCCCCTTTTTCCAATTTCTCACTCTTATAAAACGAGGTATACGCTTTACTTTTTCTTCACAAGAGAATTTGACTGGAAAAGGAAAAATGTCGAACACTTTTACTGATTTACTAGGTGCACTCCTACTTCAACACGAAGAATTGGGTGAAAACAACACGGAGACTTCAACTGATCAACTCAATGGCAAATACGTTGCTCTGTACTTTTCGTAAGTCATCCTAAGTATCCTTGGATCTACATTTACAAATCTCATTGCATATCTGTAGTGCTCATTGGTGTCCGCCGTGTAAACGATTCACACCAAAATTAGGGGAAATCTACAAAGAAGTCAAAGATGAAGTCAAGGACAAGTTGGAGATTGTCTTTGTTTCGTGTGATGAAGACGAAGAAGAATTTAAACATTATTTCAAAGAAATGCCATGGAAAGCAGTTCCATTCGCCGGTAAATAATCATGAAATTCACAGAAGAAAAGAGAGTCATCGAGACTTCTTTTTCTTTAGACCGTCAACTTTCACGAACATTAGGAGAGAAATTTGAAGTCGAAGGCATTCCATCATTAATTGTGCTTTCGCCATCCGGTGAAGTAATCAATTCCGATGGTGTTGCTGAAGTAAGTGCTTCAGGCAAACAGGCTGTTCGCAAGTGGGCAGAAGGAAAGCGTTTGTTTTGGTCGCGCGACGCCAAAGAAGGAGAACATGTTTGGCAAGATATCAGCTGTTCGAATTGCTTCATGAGTCCGATCCTGGGCTCACGTCACGGTTGTACACATCGAGAATGCGATGTTGATTTATGTTCAACATGTTTAGCGCAGAATAAACATGAACATCCACTTGTGGAATATCTTATACCGGGAAAACATTATTCATTAGAAGAACTTTGTCAATCGGTTCCTCATTTACTTGATCCAAATAGTGAAGAAACACTCGAAACGAAAACATTGTGGCAAGATGGTGTGAAAGCTGTTGGATTTTACTTTTCTGCTCATTGGTGTCCACCTTGTCGACAATTTACACCGAAATTAGGAGAAATTTACAAACAAGCTCAAGAAGATTCGAAAAACTTTCGAATCGTGTTCGTGTCAAGTGATCGAGATGAAGAATCGTTCAATGAATATCGAAAAACAATGCCCTGGTCAGCTGTTCCATTAAACTCTGGTTCACTTCTCAAAGCGTATTTTCACTGCTCAGGTATGTTAACTTTCCTCCGTCATCCTAAAACTATTCTATTTGTGTATCTTTAGGCATTCCATCGTTGATTATTCTTTCATCGGATGGTAAATTATTAACACGTCGTGGCCGAGATGATGTTTCATCAAAAGGTGTTGAAGCTTTGAAAGTCTGGGCTCGAGGAGAAAAAGTTCCTCCTCCTCCACCTGAAGAATACGAGTGGTCAAGTGTTTCATGCGATGGCTGCAGCGCAGCTCCACTTATAGGTCAACGATACCATTGTGACACATGCGGAAACTACGACTTGTGCGCAGCATGTGAAAAGAAAGGACACGACCATCCACTGAAACTCATCCCCCAACCAAACGATGAAGATGATTAAACTCGAAACTGATCAGCTCTTTTTTTCCATGAAATTCTCTTTTCCTAATAAACAAGTTTCACTTTATACAGACGAAGAATTCATTGGAATTAATCTTAGTCCAGTTTTCAATGGATAATTTTCACGATGTCTGAAGTTGCGTTGTCGTTCTTTCCATTGTCGTTCCCAGATTTCAATTTGATAAATGATTCGAAAGAAGAAGAATTTAATTAAACGAACAGTTTTCCATCGAAAATGTCTTCCGGATAAACAATAAATGTAGAAATTCAACGAACAATTGCCTAAAACGGATAATAAAACCCACCAAGTCTCATGTGCTTCAACTGTCATAATGTGTCCAGCAATATGCGAGAAAAGTGAGAAAAGAAAAAGACTAGAGTGAAGAATTAAGATAAGATTCATCCATGACGTCACTTTTCTTCGTTTCTTCGACATTTTATGTTCACTTGTTCGTTTCAATTGACGGGTTGTTTGGTAAATGCTATATAGAATACAAATGTTGAACGCAACGATGGCAACAGCTGGAAACAATTCCGAGAAAAAACAGCGGACTGTGTGGTGGTTGAAACCTAGGCGTACTTCAAAGAAATATTTTTTCCATTTTAATGAAGCATTCGAACTGAGACCACAATAATAATGAATCAAATCTCGACTTGTATTACTTGTTGATTCATTTCTAAAGACAACAAATCGATGTTCGGTGGGAAAAGGTCGCTTTTCTTACTCGATAGTTTGTGGTTGATAGATATAAACAGAAGGAGCAAGTGTACCGATCAGAATAAAACTGAGAATGACAAGTGGGATAGCAATTTTCAATTGACTTGTGTTCCATCGATGAAATAAGGTTCGTAATCGGTCGGAAATGCAAATTAAACGTTCGAACATCCAGAAAAGTGTTATCCACGATGAAATAACACGAAATGAAAACGCCATTTCATAGATTTTACACGCATACCAGGAATATCCAACTAAATTATTGATAAATATTCGTGATTTCGAATGTAAAATGAGTGCATATCGAATTGCACAAAAAAGATTGATAATAGAAGTTGAACTTGCCAAATAAACATAAATGGTCGATATTCGCCATGCTTGTTGAGACGAACAGAATATAAGAAGACCAAATAAATTACCCAAAACTCCTAAAACAATCAAAAACCAACATAAACTGTCAGTAACTTGTACTCGATGACTGAAAGTATCGATGCTTTGAAGAATAATTGACATGTGTTGATTGTTTGTCACCATTGTAATCAAAATCCAGATTCTAAATACAAAAATCTTCTTTGTTAAACTGAAAGTGTATTTCCTTCCTCCACTCTATTATTTATATCGGATTCGTGGCAAATTTTTCTAGTCTTCATCTCGTCTAAAAAATTAATAAAATCAGATAAAAAATGTTGTAAAATACTAACCTTCACCTCCAAGCTTTCCTCAATGACACGAGAAGTCCTATGAAACTATTTTTAAGATATTTTATACGCATTTTCATACTGAATTCGATATTCGATTCATCTTCTAGAAAGTTCTTATTCAATATAAATCGGTGTATCTAAGATCTCGATGTATGACTAAAAAATGAAGCTCAACATCGCCATTTTTATTATTCTACATCTCTGAGAAAACTGAGACGAAGGAAAAAGCTCACAACCAATGAAAAATTGTTTTATTTAAGAAAATCCTTTGTGTTAGCTACTCAATGGAAAAGTCATATCAGTACAATCGGATACACGGTGTTTTAATACTTCTTTTTTAGATTAACAAACGATTAGCATTACCTCCAAGCTTCTTTTTCTCAAAACAGAAACATTGTTCAAAGTCAAAGAACAATCCTCAGGACTCATTCATTTAAAAAAGAGCTTTCGAAGGCGTTGTTTTCTTTGTTTTTACAAAATTATCCAGCAAGTTTCTCATTAGAAACCACGCCGAGTAGAAGTTCTTGATTATGCAAAGTTTTCTTCGAAGCATTTTGCGTAAAATCTCCTCTTTCATGACTTGTTTCCCGGAATCGAAGTTTTTTCAAGAAAACTTCCTTCCTGTTTCTCCTATTCTTTGTTAAGTTCAATGAGTCTTTCAAACATTCTCACTTTGTCGAGTTCGTTTTCGTGATTGACATTGAAAAAATACATGAACAGTGCAGTTGAAGGTATTTACAAATATATATGTGCATTTCAATGAATAGAAGAACGAGAGAAAACGAACATTTGTATTTACACGAAAAAAAAGAACGTCGAAAGATAGATGAAGAAGCAGAAAAACGGCAAACATCTCTTGAATAAAACACATAAGAAATCGAAGCGTCACTGGGAAAATAAACTACGACGATAAATACAGAGATCGAGACTATAGAAAAAGAGAAAAACTGTCACTGGCACTGTTTGTTATGAGAATTTTCGAGTTTACTGTTCCTTGACCTGAAATAAAGAATAGAAATCCTGAAGAATTTCAAGGGAAGTCAACGAACTTTTGCAATGTGTTGTTGTTCGGTACATTCATTCAAATCTAATTGAACAAAATCGTCTTGAATAGCGTTCGCCGAGATGATTTCCATATCATCAGCAATTGGTTCTTCTTTATCTTCAATCATAGATGTTTGAGTTGCATTGGTATTGTAATATTTTGTTTTCTCAATATCAGTCGGTTGATTAATCATTAATTCGGGTAAATTTGGTCGAGTCGATGAACAGAGTTTACGAACGACGTCAATCTATTCGACATTTTGTTTAGAAAAAGGTCATCGTTGCAAAGAGAAAATAAACTTTACCTGATGAGGTGTTCGTATTTTCGCCATAACATGATGATTATGAATCAATTGTCTATCGGCACATGATTCGCATAGATCATAATCAAAACATTCGAGACATTTGTAACGAACACCAATTATGGGCGAACGATTACAACCTACTCAAGTCAATGAATAACAAGTTTAAGGAAAACAAAGTTGACGAACCATCACAAATAACTCCAACGTGCTTTGGTGGAAGAAGTTTCAACGGTGGAACATCGTCTTTGATAAACTTAACGAAAACTCGAAGTAATTGTTGACGTGATGCCTGATCACGTGCAGCTTCGTTTATCCCATCGGAGTTTGTTGCTAATACAAGACCACGAATATCATCTAAAGAAGAGAAAATGTCTCAAAAGAATGAGATGCTTTTCGTTTTCGTTTACCTTCGTATTGAAATTCCAGATGAATTCCACTTTTCTGAGACATCAATTCCGGAAAGAATTGCGAAAGTTTTTCACGTAAGATTGACAAAATATCCGTGGAAGCAGTTAGTAATGGAATACCGATTCGGCGATATTCACTTGCACCGTCTAATTTTATAATACATAATTTAACTTCAACCATGTTTCTTTTTTGCTCCTTCTAAAAATCACGAGAAAAAAAATAGTAATTTGTTTTTCAGACGTATTCAACTAAATCAAGGTTCGTCATTTGTTTCATTTATCGTATTCACATGATGTTCTCCCTTACTATTAGGACAAAAATATTCTTGTGATTTATTTACCAATCATAACAACGAAATAAAGTAATAAATATTTTTCACTCGATGAGTCATCTTAATAATCATTTATTGATCATTAGTAATTATTTCGATTTTCTTGCAAATCTTCCTCAGAAAAATATTTTTTCAATATTTATAATTATTTAATTGCTGCAATTATTAAATAATTTCATTTCACTGTTTGTACGAGAGCGACATCTGTCGGTTCGGTCTTGAAAGATATCCTTAACTCTTTGTCTACTACAATAAAAGTGGATGATTTTTATCCCATCCCACACATATGCAATTAAACATCGATTTATTCTCAGATAAAGTGACCACTACTGATGCTTCAACACATGGGTAAAAGTCCTGAACTTCGACGATGAAGTATAAGAAAATTAGGAATTCATATCGCACATTGGAACAAATTAAAATTTTGAAGTAAGAGATTCACAATGTTTGTGTCATCAAGCGAGATACGTTTAACACAATTGAGAGAAACATTTTTATATTTTTTTTATTACATTTATGAAGGAAGATTACATCTCAACTGATGGAAAATAACGAAAAAAGTCAGTTGAACGTTCAACAAATCCTGACGTTAACAGTTGTTTTATCTTCTTACAATTGCGACGTGTTTCTTGTCTTGTAAAGTTCTCTGTTANAAGAGATTCACAATGTTTGTGTCATCAAGCGAGATACGTTTAACACAATTGAGAGAAACATTTTTATATTTTTTTTATTACATTTATGAAGGAAGATTACATCTCAACTGATGGAAAATAACGAAAAAAGTCAGTTGAACGTTCAACAAATCCTGACGTTAACAGTTGTTTTATCTTCTTACAATTGCGACGTGTTTCTTGTCTTGTAAAGTTCTCTGTTACATGTTTCAAATAAAAAGCAAACGTAGCCAAGTTTGTCAGGAATGGGGCATATGCTTTTGATTCGTTGAGAAATTGTTCAAGATAATCTCTACTCGAATATCGAACATCAAGTGAAGTCAAATGAGGATATTCGACGGTCGAATTTGATTGAACTTTTTCATATGACAATCCGTTCCAATTATTTGATAATTGGTCCTTCATATTGAAAATACGTAAATATGTCAATAATGGGAATGAACGACCAATTCTGACAAAAAATTCATGTTCAAAACTATTGCAATCGGCGATGATTAAAAACGTAACATAAGGAAAGCTGATATTTGCAAATCCATTACCAAGATCTTCAAGATGATCAAAGAGAAATGGAACTGAGAAGATATGACATACAGCGTTATTATCAGTAAGATAATGAATATTGCTCACACAATCTTCTCGTATGTGTGTTAAGGTTTGTTGGATGCTTGCATTAGATAATTTCGGCGAAAAATCGAATGTTTCGACAGAAGATCCGATATAAAAAGTAAATGAATCAAGTTTTGGCATGTGGTTAAGAGGATCTATCAGATGAGCACCATTTATTGGTTGGTGGTGACATTTCACACGAAGATATAACGATAGTTTTTCCAGATTTATCATTCGACGAAGTAATGATACTATGACATCGAATTCTTTCAATCGATTGAACGATTTCAAAGAAAAACACTTCAGATTTGGTAAATTATTCTACAATCAATAAATAAATGTTTTTCCAGTGTTCGATAAGATTAATTCAGCAGTGCTATGATTTTCTCTATACTACACGACGAACCTCAGATTGTGCATAAAACATATCCCAGATGACAAGGATTTCCAACCGACATTGCGTCGATTCGTTTCAAATTGAAAGTAATTATATCTTTGTAATTCAGTCGAACTTTAACCTTGAACACTTATGAAACTCACCGTTTTGTAGATAATTCTCGATTTTTCCATAGAATCGATATTAACTGATAAATTTGATAATTGCTTGAGTCGACCATCAAGTAAACAAAGACAATCATCGAAATTTGCCACATTGATACATAAATCTGTGAGAGTTGAAGAGGAAAACAAATTTGGTAAGAAATCATAAAGCGATAAACGTGGATACGGAACAACCGACTTTATCATAGTGAACTCTTTCAAATTCTCAAAAAATTTCAACATATATCCATATACGCTTCTTGTATAATCTTTCAATGAATCTATTTGATCATTTTTGTCATCACTAACAAGGACCAGATTTGTAATTTGTCGCCGAAGGCTTGATTTAAATAATGATTCATCTAAAATTAGTCAACAAAACACATTTCAATCGCATGTCCGTTGTCTTAAATAGAATATTTACTCTTGAAGTAATTTAGAACAAGTTCTTGTCGAAAATGAACAATTTTCAGTTGATTTAAATTGGGATAATCTGCAAGAACTAAGATACGTTGCATTGATAATGGATTAAACGCCAAAGATTTCACATGGTGATGAATTTTGGGTAAGATATCGTTATAAAATCGATCGATTAAACAAATATCATTAATTGATGAAAAATTCAGACTGTTGGTGAAAATATTTTCTTGAACGAGAAGATTTAATCGTTCATTGTTAATACCAAA